GAAAGACAACACCTTTCTAATAAACTAAACAGGGTAGATGACCAGCCGCTGTTTGAAGAAAGTATACTGCGCCATCGTCATGACTCATCGTCACAGAAGAAAGCCGTGCAAGCGCTACTGGGCTTCTTACGAACTACTGGCCTGTCGGAACGCCTCTGAGTGGACTGATTTTGTGTGTGCATGTGTGTCGGTGTTTTTCTCTTATTTATTTTTTAACTCTCCCTTTCTCTTTCAACCCCCTATTCCCCAACCCCAGTGTAGGGTAGCATACCGGATACTAACATCCTGGTTAACTTCCCTGCCTTCCTTTTTTTCTCGTTCTCTCTCTCTCTCCTCATATAGAAGCTCCGCCATCCAGCGGACATTCCAAAGACTAAACGAGAGGTGGCACACGCACACTTTCTTACGGCTTCCGCTTCGGGTCTACTCCCCACCTTTAATCCACCTCGAGTTCATGGTATATACTAGTTCACTGTATTCATGGCACTGCGGCCCAACGCTCGCTAAACCTTTCTAAAACCAAGGAGGTTACGCCCAGCGATTACAACGTAGGAACCCTTTCTTGTCAGATAGTGCTCAATGCACATGCCAATGGCTGCTAATGGGGATCGCAGCGTGCGCGTTAACTAAAAGCCGAATGCTCCTGTCTCTCATTCGCCATTAGCAGCCATTGGCATGTACATTGAACATTAGTTTTAATTGCTCAACAACGCACAGAAGAAATCTCTCACCGGTACCACCTTGGGGGTCAAAATGTCATACTGTTCCGCCGTGGTGGTCTAGTGGCTAAGGTACTCGGCTGCTGACCCACAGGTCGCTGGTTCGAATCCCGGCTGCGGCGGCTGCATTTCCGATGGAGACGGAAATGTTGTAGGCCCGTGTGCTCAAATTTGGGTGCACGTTAAAGAACCTTATGTGGTCTAAATTTCCGGAGCCCTCTACTACGGCGTCTTTCATAATCGTATCGTGGTTTTGGGACGTTAAACCCCACATATCAATCAAAATGTCATACTTGTTACACACTACAACGGCTACGAGGGACGAACGGGTGCTGTTATAAGGAGCTTCGCCCCTCATAAGATAATAAAGTGTATGCGTGCAAAGAATTTAATTTTATGATAGCAATATTGCGCTGCCATCGTTTTCAGACGCGATTATACATTGTGTGCCAATAGATGACGCAAGCACGTGGTCAAAAAAAAAAAAAGAAAACTGAAAACGAAAATGAGCAAACAGAGCCAGTGCTTAAACGTGTCGACGTTAATATTGACAACAAATATAATGAATTCAGTCTAACCACGATTAGTGATTCTCTAGTCACGTACGGTACGGTTGCGTATGGTCAGATCAGTCACGGGACTTTGTCCCATGTAACCTCTCCGTTCGACTGCTGGATGCAAATTAACGCGACTTGAGATGGACGCCCACACGAAAGACACCGTGATGAGCTCTCTACGACTATCGAGAGTGTGATTTCAGCAGCATGGTTTTTGCCTATAATTTTCTTCTCGTTTGTGTGTGGGTGTCATGTGTGATTGCATAAAAGAATTTCTCGCTGTTTTTTGTGTGAATCAAAGAGTTTATTTGCGCAGGTCATGAGCAAAAAATTGCAGCAGTAAGGAAAATATATGTTAATTACCATCAATTATTGCATCCCTGGTTTTCACTGCGAGAACTAACTCTGTGCAACTTATTCGGCCATATGTAACTGCGCGGTTTCCCAAGAGCCATCTAGGGTTTGCAGCACACACTTGGTTGGAAACGTACTGTGACATTCACTCCTCGCCCATCTATACTTCTATACAGTCTACGAGAGGAATAGATAGAGAGAAAGCACTTGAATTACTCATGCTGTCATAACTACAAGGACAGTATTGCCATGAGATGAGATTCTTTTACAACACAGAATACTGGCTTACTAAAAATATTGAAGCCAGGTGACTTAAAATCTTGGGACAAGAGTTCGAAAGTGTAGAAGTATTTGTAGAAGGAAAAGTGTGGGGTGTTTTTGATGCTCCCATGTTATGCCGAAAGTAGAGAGGTATCTAGGGAAGACATGAAAAAGACGTATGAGATAGCACTGGTACACATTAACTTTGCAAGAGTTACCATACAGAGGCTGATGACATGCAACATTTAAAAACAAAAAAACAAAGTTCCACTTACTTTAATGACTGTAAACAAGACCATTTTAATATGCAGGAAAACTTATGCTACTTAAAAGGCAATTTCAGTATGCAAGCAAGTTAAAGTGGTGTGTCTTTGATGGGAATAAACAGAAGAAACATTTCTGTATAAAGTGGCTTTAGATGTAAGCTCTGTGTGTAAACTGTGTTCGAAACCGTGAGTGTTGTGCAATCTTGCAATTAGATGTGCAGTGTATAATAAAAATGGTTTTCGATTTTATACCTTTATGTAGCCAAAGCTTGCGAGTAGCACAAATGCCAGAATTATAGTTCGTGACAACTATTAAGAGTGTTTGAAAGGCATGCCAATTGACTCACACTGAGACAAAACACCCACACATAGGTCGCGCGATATCGACAGCGTTTGATATTCAACAAATCATAAAGACTGCACATTTACCAACAGTGTGGAATAAATAATCTGCTGACTATGGTTCTCAAACTATTCGCATACGCTGATTATGTTGCGATTTGTAGCACTTCCTATGAAGGTATTGAAGAATCAATCAGCGTTTCTACATATTTCGCCGAAGTTACAGGAAGCCACATATACTGGAGTAAATGCCTCGGATTTTGGCGTGAATATTGGCCTTCAACCCCAGAATATTTTCGCTGCCATTAAATGGAACGAACAGGTCAGTTAAATACCTCGGAGTTCTGCTCGAGTCATACAAAAGTTCTGATGAATATTGGACACAGCAAACAAAAGAAATAAAGAGAAAGCGAATAGGTGGAATGCAACCTATATGTTCATTTTTGCTAGGGCTACTGCATGCAACCTGTTTTTTTTTTTGTCTTAGCTATGGTATGTGATGCAAGTTCTGTACTGTTCCCGGGTCAATGTGCAAAAATTACATCGGGTGTTTGCAATATTTGTGTTGGGGTCTAACTGGGAAAGGTGCCGTCACACTAATTTGTTTAGACGGGTCAAGTGTGGAGGCCTTCGGCTAGGTCATCTGTTTATCAAACAGTTAGTAAATAGGTTTTTTTTTTTTGTTTTCCGTGAGACAAGAGATCCTTTCCTACTAACAGTATGTCAAACAAGACTAAGTAGACTGTTGCCCGAGTTCGTTGTGAGCTCTCATGTTACCACGGGGCTGTACAAGGATACATGAAGAAGTTGTGGCCAGCGTGCGTTTTTAGTGCAGTTCGTTTTTCGACTTACTACCTGTGGTCTGTTGAAAAATAAACTACAAAATTTATATGATACTGTGCTCCCCATCCCACTGCACAGACCGCTATATACAGCACGCAAGGCAGAGAATGTACTTACACGAGTTTGAAAAAAAAATGCCGGCAGCTCCAAGTGCAAAAACGTTCTTTTTTACCTTACACACCAGAACACTTCCTCTAAGAACCTTCCTAGAAGATTGTGGGTTTTATATGCTTTGAGGATCTCACTGTCTAATGTTTAAGAAACCGCAAACTATTGACCATGTTTTCCTGCACTGTTGGAAAGGAGTTTACTTTTGGGACGTATTACAAAGAACAATTAAAAAAAAGAGTTCCCGTTAGACCCTCATGGGATCAGGACCCTCATGGGACCCTCATGGGATCAGGCTAGAATGGCTGTATTTCACTGTGACCCGGACAGGAGACCAGCAAGAGAGTATTTTAAAGAAAGTATCTCAAGGTTTCTCGAGGTAATAAGAACGGACGAATGTGTACCTTTATGGTTAGGGAGCACAGAAGCCCTAATGAACATGGAGGAATTCTAGGACGCGATGTGTTATAGTAATGCTAGACGGCCTTAGTTATTTTCATTTTTTGCATTGTTCGTTGTGTTTTGTATTATCTTCATCTTAGCACCCTGTGTGAGAAGTTTAACCGGAAATAAAGAAAAAAATTGTAGTTTTGTGGTAGGACAACTGCTTGCCACGCAAACGGCCCGGGTTCAATCCTCAATGGGTCCAAACGTTTTATTCCTTATTTTATTTTGCTTTTTTCTTGAATTTCCGCTCACGGACGGTTTTTCGCTCACAACCAACGGTGCCGACGCCGATGGCGGAATTTCCGCGACACGAGTTCTCTAACGCTATCACGTTAAAGTAACTTGCCATGGGCAGGGACCGTAACTACGGCCTTCGGTTAACGCGTCCGATGCTCTGCCACTGAGCTACGGCGGCGGTCATTCCCATGCACATTACTTAAACGCGGGAGCGTCATTAAGCAACGCCAGTAGACACTACGGCGATTGTGGAACGCTTCCTTTGCCTGTCAGCGTCACATAGCTCGCGGTATCAATACAAGCTGGCAGCTGAGCAATATTGGTTAATTAGAGTGACTGGCGTTCTCGTAAAAACCCTTGATATGTTTTTTTTTTCGTAAGCCTGCCCTTAGGCATTTACAACACGGCAAATGCGCAAAGCACAGATTGTTTACGAGGGATCATTTCATTTTGAATGTTCCATATCTAAGCCTCCGTAATAACGGCTGTAGCGGAGACCCTCGTCAGATTCCTAGTTCGAACATGATGCTAGGGCACTGCAAATTTGTAGCGCAATGACAATTCTGCTAAGAGTGAAGTTTTAGGAGCTTTGTCATGTGATGTCAGCAAGCAAAGGCGGACCGGTCAGACCTAACGCAGGCAGAAAACATAGTAAACGTGAGAAGTACAGTGAAGTTAATAGCACACGCGTACCTTATGCAAGGTTGGAGGAAGAATTAAAAAGTAAAATGAGAAATTGAACACAGTCTACAAGAAGGTAGCAAATGCGTGGCTAAGTGTAAGAACAAGATAGGGGTTTCTTACTACGTTATCATGTGTAGTGAATGCCATGAGCCGAAGGTACTATGTACATGAAGGACACGCACTTCGTGTACGAGATTGTTTATTCTTTCGGTCTGGAAAGCGTCGAAAGCGATAAAGTCACGCAACAAATATAGAAAACAAACTTCCAGGCACCGGAAACAGTCACATGCCAAAGTTAAAACGCTCTATGCGTGGCAGGGGCAATTCACTCCGAAGGAAGAAGTGGTCAGCGGGTGAGGCATGTGCGAATTCAGTTACTATAGGGCCCTGAGCTTGCATCCATTCTGTCGAGTCAGCTGATAGCGTAGTCGACGATCACATCCAAAATGCTGATACAACACAATTTGAGCGTCACAGTGATGAAAAAGACATCTATGCCGAAAAGACAGAAAATACGTGCCGTTAAATACAGTAAGGTTCAAAACCGACCAACGTACCGGAGTTGGTTGGGAAGAAAAAACTATTGAACTCTTTATTGTATAATGCCTACGTTAATACCGACGGTGATTTTATATTTTGGGAAAATTAATGTGGAACTTTTAAGAAATTCACATTAATACTCATTGACAATGAGTTCAGTGTGAGAGAAAGCGATGATGCATAATGGGCATATCGTGACGACTTACGGGGGGGCTAGGAGAAGCAGTATATACATCGATAATGTATTCATGCCTTTCTGCTTCGTCAATCAGTTCTTGTGGATACGTTACATCAACATCTTCTCGGCAATGAGCTTCTGGAAGAAAAATAAACTTTTTAATAAACAGCCTGCGTAAGTGTATATTGAGGAACGCTGAAAAATGCAAGCTTTACCTCGCTTGTGGAGATTGATCGAATGCGGGCCTGTGAAATAATAAGAAAAAAAGAAGGGATTTCGAGCGCAGGATTTATAATAGAGTCCGGAAGACTTGAATTCAGAAAAGTATATCTTAGGAGCAATTATACGCACCGTCACCATGATAATAAGGGAGGTACTCTGAAAAAAAGAAGATGATGAGTGTTTCAGCGGTTTCGGTAAGACATTGGGAATATTGTACATAACCTCCTCGTGTGTGCCCGCTGGCGGCGCAAATGAAGCAAAAAGTTGTCTTACTTTAATGATCTTAGGAGCCTTACGCAAATAGGCTATGAAGTAAATCCATACCTTTCTCAGCGCTGCCTTCAAACGATAGGTCTGAGGAAGAAAAGAAGAAAGGAAACGTGGCTTGATTTAGGAATTATGAGAAAAGGAGTTTTTTTGCAGAAAAGCAATGCATACCGTCGTCATCATGCATCTTTTCCAATGCATCTCCTGAAAACAAGGGAGGATATGTCAGAGTATATCAAAGGAAACTGAAGGCCGATATGATGGATGATATTCACCGTTGCGATGGTATATAGGTTGCGCCGATTCATCTGGAAATAAAAAATATATATTCGGAGTGCAATGAAACGATTATTTTGAGCCGCTAGAATCGGAAAAATTTTTTAGACTGCCTACCTGATGTGTCGAGGTAGTCTACGGCCCAAGATCCTGAAACAATAAAACAGTAGGAGGGTGAGACAGGCGAGTTGGAGTCTTTGTAAGTGGAAGAAGGGAAAAAAACTTATAATAATCAGCCACTGCATGGTTTACATGTACGGAATAATGAAGGCTTGAAATGCAACGACTCAGAAACTATGCAACTAAGAACTTTGAAATGACATTGCGGGAGTATCAAGTGCTTATCTGAGTATACATGACGTTCAGGGTGCGAGAGCACAAGGTAAGCGGTTTCGTTTTTCCGGGCACATGAAACGACATATTTTGACGAAATTCCATCATGTGCGATTATATGGCCTAGGAAATATAGTTGAGCACACTTGAATATACCCACTGGCTGGAAGACACTTGGACTGATGCACATATTGGTATGGAAACATGACCGATAAAGTATAATGCCAACTGACAGAGTACAAAACTAACACTGGAAAGTGGTGAGTGATACCATACAGTATAGGAATAAATTGCCGTGGAAAAGAAGTCAGCCTAATAGAAAAGCGATAAAAGTGCAAAAGAAATATACGAGCTTCACACCAACATGTCTTTTCTGAATAGAGACGTCAACAAAATAGGGCATGTGTCTCTCGTAGGTTAGTTCACACGTCGGCTTCTGTGCGCCATGCAAGCTTTTTTCACTTTATTTCACTTTCACTTTATTTCCTTAAAGACCCCACAGGGGGAGTGTTACATAAGGGGTAAAGAACTAGCTCAGCAACAAGCCCTCTTGAATGGTATACAGTGTCTTGGAAAAGTAGCTCGCAGGGTCATGGCGTTCTGTCTGCGACACCAGCCTGCGCTGGAAACACCAATCTGGCTCACTTACAACCCTTGGCCCTATCACAATAGTGTCACGGGGTCATGACGTGGACGAAGGAAGCAGGCTGCAGGTCGAATAATAAACTGTTTATTCGGACCGAGATTGTGGCCACGTGAAAGGACAGTCAAAGTACAGCACGAAGACTGATAGAGGCGAGCAGGGAGTCGGCCGTCGATCAACTGACGAGCGGCGATGCGTGTCGACATTTATACCCTTGCCATCGAATATTCTAGCATTGTCGCTAGCGGCGACGTAGGTTCCAGAATAATCTGTTATGTTCACGAAGTGGGCGTAAGCTTAACAAAACGATCTACTACGGCCTCGCAGCTTCTCGAACATCGAAGGCGTGGTATGCGCTGAACGCAGTGTAACGAGGCGGAAACAAAACTTGAGGAAAGGAACGTGGTGATAGTCTGGCAACACTTAAGCGATAAAGTTTGCGTATTCCAAACATCCGCACTTGTGTTTGGCGCTAAGAGTGAAAACCGAAGCACTCACCGATGCCCAGAATGGCAACCAGAAGCCAGAAAGCTGCTGTGCGCATGTTCCTTGGTGTGAAACCTGCGAGTTAAGTTGATGCATGTAGAAATTGTAGATCGTCACCGTTGTGCACACTAAGGGGCAGTGATAGGACAGGTGTGTTAAAAGCGGAAAAAATAAAGAAGCACCATACAGGTGGAGCGCTTGATCACTTCAAAGTAAAAGTTATGCTCAGACACTAGCTAGGGTTTATCGAGCACAGAAAGCTACGCAAGCCTTCGAGTAGCAGTGATGTTTGAACTCTGCGGTAAATGGACCCACCGCTGTGAATATTTGTGAACTCTGAAAACATGGGAGTAACAGATAGTACACAACCGTCACCATTAGACCCCCCCATTCCCCCCTTCTTATGTTAATAAAACAGCTTTGAATTTCGAAAGAATAGCACGGACACCATGTAGCCGTTTCAGATCCGCTGCCTACTGACTAAAGGTCAACGAAGCGCAGTAGAAAATACTGGTATTTTGAGTGCGTAAATATACAAGGAACGAAAGACAGAGGTAGACAGGTGGCAGAAAAACCGCACTCGCGGTTAGGTAAAGTGATTATAGAGATATGGCCTGACAATGAATAACTACACTATAAAAAATTTAATACGGGTGGACAAAAAATGATGCAGCACCTTCTAGTACGCGTAAAACTGCATTGTTCCGCATTCTGACGAATTGAAAGAATGAAATAATGTGTTGTAGTCACCGCAATCACGATATAAAGATAAGGCACGCTAAAGTGGTGCGAAATTATCAGTTTTACAACCTGGGGTTCTTCAATGTGAACCCAAGGCTAAGGACACGGGTAGTCTTTGCAGTACGTACCATATTATGAAGCCACCGGGATGCGTAATAGAACTCGAATCGTCAAGTGGTGCGCGAAACGACTTGAATGCCTTCCTGCGAGGCACGGCAATGGTGGACACGTGGTGGCACACCCACACGCTTACGAAATGCTCAAGTGAAACAATTGCTAGCTATGTATGCCAGGTGAAGACTGGCCTAATGCGACATCACCGTCATCACCACTGCGTCATCGAGCTTTGCACTGTGATGCCAGAAGCTAAGCCAGAAGGACATGTATTCCTGGCGACATAAATAGTCGTAACCAATAGCGCACGTCCTTTGAGAGCCGTGTGCCTGCCAGTACGGAAGCCCAGAAATTTGTATGATTACGCTCAACAGGCGCCCAAAGATATGTTCCATGCGACTATCATATTCTTGAGTGACTGTATAGAGTAACATACAAAATGAGTTGGGTATGTTGGGTGTTGCCGCAAAATGAATTCAATCGCGTGCATTTGTATATAGGGCAATGGCATCGAACAACAAAGCTGCGTAGCTCGGTTCGCATGACCCCACTGATTTTACAACCGTGTTACAAAAAACTCCCAAGCATTTCCCCGCGGGTGAACATGGTTAAGTGCGAATGCACGGGGTGATGCTATGAGGGATATTTATTCATTCGCACTATTATAATTTATTAATCACACTATGGTGCCTTTATGGTGTAATGGTTCCTGGGAATCGCAATTTGATCACACGGGGGAGTTTACGTTAACTCACTGGCGAATGCCAACGGATTTTAACTTTACTCCCCCTTATAGCATGCGAGCCCTGGACGAGCAAAGTCCAGGGCTCGCACCCTCTCCCGCGCGGCACGTTCACTGGCTCGAACGGCTTCGCGAACGTCCACTCGCCGTTGACGACTGCGAGCGGCGTCTTGACGCCGGCCTTCATCGCCCTTCTCCGCCTGACGCTTGCGTTGTCGTTCCGCTTCTTGGGCCGCGTTCGCGGCTCGATGCTGACGCCTCATCTCGGCCTCGCGAGCGCGCAGTTCACCATCCGCTGCACGCTTCGCCCACTTGTCCTCGGCCTCGCGAGCGCGAAGTTCGGCATCCTCTGCACGCTTCGCCCACTTGTCCTCGGCCTCGCGAGCGCGCAGTTCGGCATCCGCTGCACACTTCGCCCGCTTGCACTCGGCCTCGCGAGCACGCAGTTCGGCATCCGCTGCACGCTTCGCCCGCTTACATTCGGTCTCACGAGCCCTTCGCAGCACCGCCTTGTCTTCCAACGTCGGCGAAACCACCGCGGTACCATCACCTCCAGCGACGGGTACAGTGCTGGCATTCGGTTGTACTGCATTCGTTGTTGATGCTAGCGTTGCCTCCGGGACATCCATCGCACGACCCGCTCTCCACGGGAGACTGAGAAAGAAGGCGAGCGCGCGAGAGAGAGGGGTGAGCGCGCAGCTGCAGCGAGCGAGGAGAGCGGAGGAGCGAGCGAAGGGGGAGGGGGACTATCAGCGTCGCGTCCGTGGCTTATTCGGTAGAGCATCGCGCTGCGGCCCGCCAAGTCCTCTTTCTTTTAAAGATAGAGAGAAGACTGCGGACGCCGCCGACGGCGGTGGACGGTTTGGGGTCGCTTATAAAGTGTATTCACACTTAAAAGAAAGGAAGAGCGCCGAATCTAATTACAAACAAGACAAGAACGAGACAAGGAGGTACGTGCGAAGGACCTCTTTTTTTTTCGCATGTACGAGATGTGAAAACCGCTGTGCAGCAGATAGTGATGAAAGCCAGTGGACGTCGTCGGTAACATCGATTGGGTACTGCGTACGTTATGAACGATAGCACACAGAAACATGAGAACAGGAAGGACATGCGGTGTGACCACGTCTCTACTGAGAACTCGTGCTGCTGTGCTTTGGACCTTACTTACGCACGTTTCTGTTCAAGAGGCTTCGCGGCTTGACCAGGGCTTAAGAAGAACGAAGTCAGCGCACCTGCAAGAGGCAACAGCGAGTATACATTGCATGAAGTATTCGGCTAAACGCATGAATTAACTAACACTATGATACACGCCGCATTCGAAAGTATTATATGTAATATCGACCACTCCAGAATCCGTTTAGAATCCGTTATAAACGCACCAGGGTTTTTTTAGTATTTCGCGCCCATGAAAAACGCCCAGCGAACCAACGCAACCCACATATTAGCTATAGAAAACTCTATAGGTAAAGTGAAGGTGTACACAACCGGAGAACTTCGGTCACCGCGTAACGTATATTCTGGGTCAGCAGCCGAAAAAGGCTGCAGCGAGACGTCAGCTTCAAAGTTGAAAGACTGACCTGAAAGCTTCACTTCAAAGTTATAGGCCGGCATGAAAAAGTCTCGCCCGAACAGCGCGATCAAAAAAGAAAGAAAAAACCCTGGCCTGAAAGCTTAACTATTTCGGAACAAAGAGAGACAGACCTCAGGCTCGAAGCAGCAAACAACACCTTAGGCCTTGCTTTCTAAAACGCGCATCACTTGGTCAGTAGCGTTTCTCAGTGTCCTTTATCGATCTTCTCAAGCAAATCCAGCGTGAATAAATTGCTATGCGTTAAGTCCCTACCCATAATAAGCAAGACAGATCGACTTACCTGTAGTCGCCTGGTCAGCTCGGTGTCTGAGATCACTTGACGCTACGCGTGACGGTGGGCGGTTAACGTAGACGTGCTTATATAGTCTACATCGAACGAGAATATGCACACGTGACAATACACATCTTGTTGGAATCATGCTCGTGACTATGCTATAGCTGAGCTTTAGCAATGATCGATAAAAGTGGTTTCGTGCCGACATTTTCATTGATTCATTGCGTTTTTTGTGATGCAGTGATCACCAATAAGCCGTCCCGGTAGATGCTGATAATAAACGCCGGAAATTCCGCATGCCATGCAGCCTTAGTAATAAATTGAATGAAGCTACCAGAATATATATATATATATATATATATATATATATATATATATATATATATATATATATATATATATATGTGTGTGTGTGTGTGTGTGTGTGTGTGTGTGTGTGTGAGTGTGTGTGTGTGCGTGCGTGTGTGCGTGGGTGTGTGCGTGGGTGTGTGTGTGCGTGCGTGCGTGTGTGTGTGTGTGTGTGTGTGTGTGTATGTGTGTGTGTGTGTGTGTGTGTGTGTGTGTGTGTGTGTGTGTGTGCTGGAAAGCTGTCTCGTATCGCTCCCACTCTGACGTGTGAACTGTAGAGATGAAACCAATGAAACTTCACCCTTCAATAAACCGTGAAACGAACGAGAGGAGGCAACAGAGAGAAATAGATGAAAAGATTGGGCTGGGAGGTTAACCTCGTAAAGGAAACTGGTTTTCTACCCTGCGTAGGGTTGAATAAATAGGCGTTGTACAGCAGAACAAGAAAATATAAATAAAAATAAAGAAACAAAAAATACACACACAGGACGCTAAGATCAAAGTCGTTCGGAGAGGCTGTTTGAACTCAGGAAGCGCTTGCCCAACCTTTTTTTTTTTTTTTGAGACGTCAGGTCCGGTCCATGGCGCAGGATTCGTTCTTCCGAAGGAGTTCGGTCGTCTAGTTTATCCAACGTATTCCGAAGCGCCCGTCTCTTCTAACAGTACTGTGGGCACAGATTACGTTGAATCGTTTCAACACCGCCACAGTGGTCACATGTTGTGGTGTGGGCCATCCATATGCGAAATGAGCGCGCGTGCGTAAATGCTACACCCAACCATAATCTGCACAAAAGGGTAGCGTCGCATCCGCGGACTTCTGTAGAAATGTCGAAGGCTGAGGGTTGTATCCAAGAAATACGGCCATGCGTGCGTAATTAAAATACAGGCCTAACTAACCGAGATCCAACGTGCACTGTTCTGTATTCATAATGACATATGAATTTTCATACATATGACGACACACACAGTTTTACATTTTATTTTATACGCGAAACGGTGGTTTAGTGGTTATGTATGGTGCTCAAATGGTGACACGAAGGTCGCTAGATCAAATACCTGCTGCTGCAGCTGCATTTACTTGTATACGCGAAATGCAAGTGGGCCCTGTACTTATATTCAGCACATATAAAAGAACACGTTAAAGGTAAATGCTAACAGGGTCAAGACAACATTATAATTCAATTACCTCAAGGATCAAGTAGAATTTCTTACAGGCTACTCGACAATCCAGCACATTCATACTATCAATCAGGTGAAAGAGAAATGCTCAGAATACACCCCACCACTATGCATATCCTTGATAGATTACGAGAAGGCATTTTATTTAGTAGATATATCAGCAGTCATGCAGACACTGTGGAATCAGGATCAACTGCCACCGGGATGCTCCATAATGAAAGTGACGGAATACCAATAAAGAAGGGTGTAAGACAAGGAGATCAGGTCTCCCCAATTGAAGCTATTTGCCGCGTTCTCACAGAAGGTTTTCAGGGGCCAAGAATGGGAAGAGTTAGAAATACCAGTTAATAGAGGGTACCTTAATAATCTGCGCTTCGACGGTGATATTGCATTACTGAGTAACTCAGAGGACGAATTGCAACTCGTGATTACGGAGTTAGACAAGGAGAGCAGAAAAGTACGTCTTAAAATTAATCTGCAAGAACGAAAGTGATGCACAGGAACTTAGTAAGCGAATGGCGCTTCGAAATAGGTAGCAGTGTACTTGAAGCTGTAAAGAGTACGTCAACTTAGGACAGGTAGTAATGGCGGAGCCGAACCACGAGTTTAAAGTAACTAGAAGAATGAAAATGGGATGGAGCACATTTGGCGAGCACTCTCAAATAATGACTGGTACAGTGCCACTATGCCTCAAGAGGAAGGTATATAACAGCTGCATCTTGACCCGCCGCGGTGGTCTAGTGGGTAAGGTACTTGGCTGCTGACCCGCAAGTCGCGGGATCAAATCCCGGCTGCGGCGGCTGCATTTCCGATGGAGGCGGAAATGTTGTAGGCCCGTGTGCTCAGATTTGGGTGCACGTTAAAGAACACCAGGCGGTCAAAATTTCCGGAGCCCTCCTCTACGGCGTCTCTCATAATCGTATGGTAGTTTTGGGACGTTAAACCCCATATAGCAAATCAGATCAATCTGCATCTTGCTGGTATTTGCTTATGGAGCGGAAACATGGAAGCTTACACAGAGGATTCAGCTTAAATTGAGGATGACGCAACGAGCGATGGAAAGAAAAAGGATAGGTGTAACCTTAAGACACAAGAAGAGAGCAGAGTGCGTCAGGGAACAAAGCAGGGTTAAGGATGGTATAGTTGAAATCAAGAAGAACAAATGGTCATAGGCCGGGCACGTAGCGCGTAGGCAGGATAACAGATGGTCATTATGGGTAAGTGACTGGATTTTCGTAGAAGGCAAGCGGGTGAGGTGGAGTCAGAATCTTAGGTGGGCCGATGAGACTAAAATGTTCGCAGGTATAACGTGGTAGCAGAAACCATAAAACCGGGTTGATTGGCAGCTTATTTATATTAGGTATTATTTTTCTAAATAGTTTGTAGAGAACGGATAGTAAGCTAATCAGCTTGTAACTTTTCAAGTCCTTCACTTCTTGATTCTTATGGATTAAAACGATGTTGGCGTTATTCCAAGATTCTGATACCCTTCCCGTCAAGAAACACTTCGCACACTTCAGGGGCCAGCTTTTCTAAAACAATTTGTAAATTTGATAAATTCACCGAAAATGAAAAATATGTCTGTTATCTTCATTCAGAGATTTTTATAAGCTTTATTCGTAGTTATGTATAAATATTTAGTTTAAAAGTTCTTTTGCTTCGAAACTGTGGCGAGTGGGAGACAGCTAGACGGCGCGACGAAGACAAGTAGGTTGCTGTTGTCGAGAGTATGTGCTGTTCGTAGACTTCAAAGGGTAATAATACTCTAGGAATCGCTCTCTGGATTTCGTGCCGACCGGTTGTGCCCCCGCGATCGCCGACGACAGCGCAGCTCTGGCCGACTGGCTCGCCTTACGCCATTTCCTGCCGCCGACAAGAGCTCTCGCTGAGTGGTGCCCCATCCTCGGACTCCTGCGACCGTGACCAACTTTCCTATCTCCTCTTTACTTCCGTCGTTTTCTGTCTTTCATTGTCCCTGCGCCTCGCTCTCTCCTTTCTCCCCCTCTCTACCTTTATTCCTATTCTTTTAATCCCACCTAACCCCTATCCCTCGTGAGCTACTGTTGAGGGGTTGCACTCTGATGCAGACAGTTACGGGGCTCCCTTTTCTCTTTAAGAATCACATAACTCATACTTTAAAAAATTGTAACATAACGTGTCTGTGCCTTCTTACGTCTTTGGTCCACAATATTCCCGTTCTGGCCTCGGACAGCAAAAACTACCCCGAGGATCATCGTAGATGTTTTCTTTTGCAATTTCCTGCTTGAAAGTTCGGTAGCATTTTTCGTGATTTCGTAAGCATTTCAATCTTCCACGTGTCCCTCTCTGTTTCCTTCACCTTATTCTTAACCGATGTTTTCTTTTGGCTTGGTATTCTGCTGTTCTCTAAATACTTGCTTGACAGTATTCGAGTTCGCTTTCTTCGTTTAGATTTAGACATTCTTTATGAACAAGTAGCTGAAAACTTTCTTAGCTCAACGCTCCTCTCCCATTTTTCTCAATAGCTCCTTGGATTCTATCTTGCTGCTAGCTTCCCTGCACTCGAACGATGTCCATCCTATGCCACCCTGTACCCCCAGATTTGAGGTATTCCCGTGTGCTACCAAAGCAAGTCTACCTATATATGCCATGTTGTTTAATTTCCAATCTTGCTTGAACCTCGGATTTCATGCACAAGACCGCATCACCCAACGTCAATCCCAGCACCATGGCACCTTTTCAAATTCCTCTCACACCGTCATACCTATTGTAGTTCAACAGTGCCCTATTTTTAATTACAATGTGGCAGAAACGACAAGCGCCATCTGTAGATCAGCACGCCAACCTTCATCATGGTCTCCGAGATTTCGACTCGAGAGGTTTTCGTAAATTATCTCGGAAGCCATGTATGAACGCTAAATAGCATTGAAGGTCTAGGACGGCAACGGGGAATCAAAACAGATGCGCTAGTGACAACCATAGCACTTGAATTGTGTATGTGGCCTCACCTTCACTTTCTTAAAGGGGTACTGACACCTTTTTTCGAAGTCTCGTTCACACTGCCACACAAATCTCTTGCATAGAGATGGCTCTCAGCAAGTGTGACGCTCAGAAAATGTTGCGGCACACCTATCGACATTGACACTAACTTTACGTCAGAGTACAATACAGAGTCAGAGTACAGAAAATATGGAACATTTAGATAGTTTGTGTCACATGTGTAACCATCTGTCTCAGTGTGAATTGACCTTGTATGTGGAAATTGTACATATATATCTATTAGGCAAATATGAACCGTAATGCGAGATGTACTGGCCTTGTGTGTGGAACATATGAAGCTATTAACTGTATGTGAACTGACTTGTGAAGTTTGGCTATTTCGTACTTTCGCATCGTCTGTTGTACAGCCTCGCATTTTGTGCCGTTAGTGTTGATCTTACAGCATATGTTGTGTACTAAAAGAAAACGAGTACCTGGTGCCACCATAATGGCACCAACCCCTGTTTCTTCATTTTAATGAAAAGAAGTTCTGGTGACTTCACGCAGCAGTCTGGTTCTGGTAGCTTCCACGCCGCATTCTCAATTCAGCGGTGACTGACATTCAGCAGACTTGAGAAGTGAGCTAGCGGTCTAGAATAGCGTATACGGGCATGCGAATACAAGATACACGCTTATCAGAGGACAAAGGAAGCGCTTTATTTCGAATTAGTCCTCATGGCGCCAATATTTTGGCCCATGAAGTCTTGTTCCAGTGAAACAGGAGCCATTAGTGCAAGTTCTACAGATTCCCGTCCAATCCAGCTCTGAGACAGTGTGGGTCGACTTCGTGCGCCGTGGGCGAAACTGAGACTGGACGCCAACCAAGCAAAGTTTACTCTTTTGGTGCACTTCACTTCGGATGCGGAAACACGCAACGTGCATTTGTTTACTCACCTACCACACTCATCACATCTGTTGACGCGATTCCTTCCTCGGCACGATTCCTGCACAAGGTCTTTCGTGCGATAGAGGCTCTAGGACTGGCGCTGCTTGGGATAGAAAGCTCGACTGCTGCGCAGCGGAACAGGGTTTACATCCCACTGGGCCCTGGTGATATTTCGTTCTCTTGTTTTATTGTGCGCTATAGTAGTTATTGACGTCAGAAAACAACTAGAACACCGAAATTGCGTGTTGTGATCTAACAGCCTTCACTGTGAAGTGGACTGCCCCCGAGTATGAACACAGGAACGGCTTCCTTGCTGTCTGACTGTGCGTAACGTAACACGCCATGCACTAAATCGGCTTCCACATAATACAGACACGCAACTCGTCTAAGATCATTTATTCTTTTCCACTTAAAAAGGTATCGAAAGGGATAATTCAAGAAAGTAAAAACATGAAGCCGTCCAGATACCGCGGCCGCTTCATGGCTTAAGAAATTCGTGCGGCAGGGGCAATGATGATGGCGCAAGAAATGACAAGCCCACTTCGAATGACGTCAAGACAGCGCCCTAGGCTTGTGTCGAACTTTTCACGTCAGGTCACGGCGAACTTTCCAATTGCCAAGGACGATATCTAATCTTGATACGACGCAGCTTGAGGGCCACCCCAGTGCATATGCGATCATTTGTTCTGAGCAGAAGGCAGAAAATACAAGCCATTAGCCACAGTAAGATGCAACACCAACCATTGTCATTCGTTCATTGGCGAAGCACAGACTAATTTAGAAGGTTTACATGTATGGTGACGGATATTTAACCTCGAAAAGAAAGTGCAATCAGCGTTGATATAGAATCTTGAAAGTAGCTTGTATTCCCCACTCGAAACAAAGAGAAAACGTATGTTGCATAATGAGCGCATAGTGTAAGGGAGATTCACCTAAGGGGAAGGCGAAGCAATAGTGGCTTCCTCATCGAGGTCGTACTCGTATGGGTTGCCATAGGGATCTTCTTTAGGTGAAGCTGCTGTGAAAAAAAAACAATTCTAGCTTTTAGCTTTTGTAAGAAGCCTCTTGCAGAAGGTCATCTTGAGGAAAGTATAAGTGACGCATTCCCTACCTTGCTTGAAGTGTTGCCGCTGTGGTTCTGTAGAATAAAATAGGAAGGATTGAGAGAATGGAATCAGTGACAGGGCGAGTAAAATTGCTGTATATCTAAGCGCGATATATCAAACCCATACCACATTCGCCTAGAGCACTGCAAGTATTGGCTGCTGAAAAAAAAAAAAAAGCGCGGTGCATGTTCAGAGGAGGCGATAAGTAGCACTTGCGTTTGTTATCTTTGGCAATTATTTAATGGAAGTCATACGCACTGGACTCATCACCGAAGTAAGAATCACAATCGTCGTAATCGTGTTCTGAAAAACGGAAAAGTATTAGTGTTATTGACTGGTCAGGCGAAAAATATTCGGAACCTCCCCTCGAATCATTCGTTGGCCATTCCGGTGAAACAAGTGTCGATTTTATTTTAAGGAGCACGTACGAACGTGACGTTTAGAAGAAATGAGAAATGATGCGCGTATACCTTCCTCCGTTCTTCGTTCAAACGATGGTTCTGAATAGAAAAGGTAACGAGATTTAAGATTTTCGACGAGCAGCTTTTATGAGCACTGTGTTAAGGAAAGAGGTACATACCGCACACATCCTTAATTCGTTCAGGTACACCTCCTGCAAAAGGTGAGGATGTGGTTGATTACTGTAAACGGAAGTCTGATATGTATGGAAAGATATTCACCGTTATGATTGTAGGTGCGTTGTGCTGATATACCTGAGAAAGAAAAGATGATGAATTAATCTTGTTGTCTTCGGCGTAGTTTGAAGACACGAGGCGTTGTAAGAAAAGACGAGTAATTGACTTAAACGGAAGACCGCACATGTCAAACAGGCTAGACAATGCCACACAGGAGAACAGCGCGTGGATCTCGTTGACTTGTTAACTGTGGCGCGCACTCACTGTGGGGGATTGACCAAAAATTTAGTGATTAAGTTTTAGAATAATGAAGGTTATAAAATAAGAAGGCTACATAGAAAAATATGGCAGTTGATCTAATGTATATATCTACTGAAAAACGAAAGAAATCAGTTCTTTTTTTTAAGCAAAGCAATGCCTTGAATAACAAAAACAAAGCAATACCTTCATTTTTTAACGTATTTGATGGTGTAGATTCGTAAACTTCGTCGTCTTCTTCGACTAGCTACAACTGATCACGTACCCGATTCTCGGCCAATCCCCCAGGGTAGATGCGAGCTGAAAGTTTAGGATCTACGCCTGCATGCTTCTCATGGAGGTGCCAGCTATGTGTTGACACAAGCAGCTCTTGCGAGTACTAAGTTAAAGAAAGCGGTACGTACCATCCACATCATTCATTTGTTCCGGTTCAACTTCTGAAAAAGGGTGAGGATATTGGGGTTTATTATTGAAAACTTAGGCCTGATATATTTAAAATAATAACCGTTCTGATGGTAGATGTCTTGCGCTGATATCCCTGGGAAAAAAAGGGTGTAGAATTAATCGACAGGACGAAACATAGTATTTACATTCGGGAAAACTATTGAATTGTAGTTCGTACCCTCTACGGGAATAGGAATCTCGTATTCATATTCTGAAAAAAAAAATCGTCCAGTATTTCACTCTGTTTTCTAGGTTGTAATCTCAAATGCAGGTTTTTGTCTTCACGATACCTACCATTGATGTCATTTTTGAGAAAGCATGAACCTGAAAAAAAAATGTGGGAGCGTGAGACAAGTTGTATAGACTCTTTGAAGTTGTTAAAAGAACGTTATCACAACCAGCCACTGGCATGCCGTACGATATGGAAAAAGTTTTGGCGCAAAACAAATGTGCTGTAACGGAGACTTAGCACGTGGCCTTGAAGGACTGCGGCGTCAAGGAGCGTCACTTTCCATACTATCAAAGGTATTACAATTGGGGCCACACAATGAGTGCTCTTTTTCAATGTGATCTTAGCGTTCAAGGCGAGAAACCTGCATCGTCCAATCGCACAATGTGGAATAGGCACGATAAACACTAACATGGCTCTTCGGGATACACACAGTTTAAGAATATAATGGTGTTTCTCATAGCTTCGTTAGTGACTGTAAAATGACTAAAGAAAGAGTGACGGCCTGGCCATTGCGTTGTTTTGCAGCGCCCTGGGGCACGGGAAGCGCTATCGTAAAATCCTGAGCAAGGGCCCCAACGTGCCTCCATTCTTCGATATATTCGCAATAAACGCAAATGATAGAGCAAGCGCCCCACGCCATTGCCTACAACCATTTTCACCGTGTAATTCATCACTTTCGAAACGGTGAATACCCGAGTGCTCAAAAAGCAGTTCATTAGAACAACGACTGCGCACTTGCATTTTTTTTTATTTTTAGTGGCTCTTCCTCCGCCAACTTTAAATCTGCTTCATGCTGAGCAAGGGCACCCATTCATATCTTGTCGGATTATCCCTAACCGTAGGGGGGGGGGGGGCAGGATTGCACGGGATTCGGCGGCTAACTGGTTCACTAGTAGCACCGTGCTCGTGAAACATGGGCATTAGACCCAGGCCCGTATGTAGCCAGGGTGGTAGTGAGGAGCCTGCACGCTCCCCGACATTCGTATGGGGGGCGGGGGTGTTTTACAAGTGACAAACAATAAAATAGGTGTTTTTCAGGGCCTTTAACAAGTACCTTTCCCGAAAAAAATATTTCTGGCTACGGACCTTCCTAGAACACTGCTCCCCTATTTTGGCATCGTTCAACCATTAACAAATTTCCGCACCATATACGCATCAGCACCCGCGGTGCTTAGTAAAATGAGAATGCATGAAAAACGCACCGATTGACAGAAAGGCGACCAGGAGCCACAGAATTGTTGCGCACATGGTCGTTGACACAAAACCTGCGAAAAAAAGAGGTTGCATGCTCAAAAAGATGATCGATGCGTACTTTGTGGCAGCGATACGCTAACGCTAACGATACGCGTGTTAGATGTGAACATCGCCGTATACTGAATGTCATTCCAGATTTCTTCAGCTCGGCATTGAAGTTATTTACAGTGGCTTGAACATTCGAAAAAAAAAAAAAACGTCTCGGCTCCATGCTGCATCTGACGTCACGCACGCCACTGAAATGATGTTTGCAAGCGGCGGGCGGGAGCCTGTGACTTCCAGGGCTGATATTGCAAGGAAATGGTATTTTGCAAATCATTTTCGGTATATACACGGGTACCATGGTGCTTCTACTTTTTTTTTTGCTGTGAACCACCGATTTGTCTAATAAATCAACAGATGGACCAGTGGCCACCGCATTGGCGCAAAGAAACACGAGAACGCAAGTAATCTGAAATGCTACTGGATAGTTAAAGAAAGAACGCTCACGCACTATAGACGGGTGCTTTGGCCAGGGTTGAATCGGCGCTCTCTAATGTTTACGATTATGAAGAAACTGGTGCAAGAATGAATTTCCGAAAGCAGAAGGGCTGCTTCTTCGTCTCACCCAGCATGTGTTGGTCCTGGGGTTATTAGGCTCGAATACTGACCCTAAGGTCGCGAGATAGAATCCCGGCGGAGGTGGGATCATTTCGTTCTTGGAGGTATACAGTGATCTCGGAGCCAGCAGCAGCTCGCGCGCGCGTTTAAGGAGCGTGGTGTTAAAGCGCGTCGTCTGCAACAGCGGTGCGTACTGGACACGTTGTCGGGAAGGGCACCGATTCTACCGTTGCTGTGGAAATTAGGCCGATAGTCTGTACTAAACTTTGTGCGATGCCAACCCATCAGCCTTCATTGTCGATAACGTTGTTCTAGGAACAGTATTTGCAGTTTGCTCTTTCGAAACGCCTTGGTACAATGCATGCGTTCACGTATACGTCTTCTTTGTGCCTGCATCGCAGTAGGCTGTGATGGGGAAGGCCATAATGAGCAAATACAGAGTGTGGTATTTACTTCCCGCTAAAAATAAGTTTAAAAAACTAAACACTTTACAATGACTGCCCCGCAGTTATGTGGGTCCAACACAATAAAACGAACGAGAACGAGTTCAGGAATGCTGTAGGTCAAGATAGTGACGTGAACGCGCTTCTTTGCGATGGCATTTCATTACATGAGGCAGAACGCACTCACGTGCACCGAAATACACGCAAGAATCTTCCAACTTAATACCTAAACATTCTCCCAGTGGCAGTGACGACGGCTCTCATTTTGGACAACAGTAAGGCGTATACAGTGACGTGATGAGCGATATCGGCCCAGTTCCCGCAGTAACAATGATGTTCGCCCGCTGCCCGACAATGCGGCCACCACGCACTGCATGCCTAATGCCGACAACGCGGTTCAACTGTTCTATGGTACACTATATATACGCCTCTCAAGAGTCTACGCGTGCTTGAGCTGCTGTCACCGCCACTCGACTGTCGCGCTGGCCGCATCACAATCCCGCGTGCTATAACATTTCTTCTTAATGTGAAACGGACTGTACGTTGATGTTAAAGAACATAGGGACAAAATTTCGGGAGCCCTGCACGATGGCTTCACTCATAACAAACCGTTGACTTGAGATGTAAAACCCACGGCAATTATCACGAGTCTTCATGTTGCTTAACGGTAAAACATGGGGGGGGGGGGGGGGGCGGGGTCTTAGTGAAGGATAGTGCGTGGATTGTTTTACGAATAAGCACAAAGTTAGCGCCCACGCACCAGACAACTGAACTGATATATAATGCAGTGGAATTAACAAGTTAACAGTACAGTGCACGCTGTAGGGGGAAATATCGCGCGAATATATTAATGACCGGAGGACCTCGCATGATAGTCCTAAGCACACCAGGGTTACTGCATATCTCCCATGGATATACGCCCACCAATGCAACTGCGAGATCGGCAACATAGAATTTTATGGGGAGTGTTAAGGTTTACGTCCCTGCAATAGAACTTCCGGCATCAGTTTTCTTCTCAGCAATCCGACTAAAAAGCCGGCAGGCTTGAACCCTGAACTTCAAGGCGGCGGTCTGGCCTGTAAATCTTTGCATTTCAAATCCTACTCTAAAAAGCTAAAACCCCGAGCTGAAAAAGCCTGGAAGCTTAGATCCAGCAGAAGATATGCAGGCTTTCTGCTCCAAGAAACAAACGACGTGGTGTTCATACGCCTTGCCTTTCCAGAACAGGTATTTTCTTTGGTCTTTGGCATTTCGCAGTATATTCTCTATCGCCTCATGCAAATGCAACATCGGCGGGTCGCGACACGTCGTCTACGTAAGGGTGGCCCATAGGGCAGCCATCAAGTGACCGCCCATAGTATAAAAGTAAGACGAACCGACTTACCTAGTTGCCTATAGTTCGCTCGGTACCTGAGATCGCAGGACGCTATTCGTGACAGTACACCAGCTTTTCTGCAGAAGAGGCGCTACCGTAGACGCAGTTATGTAGCTGACGTCATTCGAGAATGTGCACACGTGGCAATACGTTATCATCATGATCGTGACTGACATATAGCGAAGATTTAGGAATAATCTAAGAGGGTGGTTTTGCGTCGATATGTTTTTCATCGTTTTATTCTTTTTTTAAGGGAAGCAGCGTTAAGTACTCCATAAGAGCTCTAGCAACTGGAACTACCTTCGTTCTAACATTGCTACAATTTGCAACCCAGATGTGTTTCGTACCACTGTGTCTAAAATTAAATTTTAGGCCATTTGATTCTGTATAACGTTGCATTGATATCTGTGAAATTCACTTGTCCAATGTATGTATTTTTTAAATGAATGCCAAAAAAGTGTCACCTATGCTACCCTCAACCGCATTTTTCTCGTCGAAACAGGAATATTGCGACCTTTCTGAACCGTATAATTTTTGTAGAGGTTATAGCTACTTCTGTTCTGCTGTTTGTACTGCAGTTTCCTGACTTGTTGTAATGTATTTACCCACTCCCCTCTTCAATGCAATTGCCTTGAGGGTATTTAAAATAAAAATAAAAAATAAAAAGTGCCATGCTTAAGGTGTTTATTTTAGCATGTGCTGACATCAAGCGCGTAAATTCTCGCACGGTGTGCAGATTAGTCATAAATTTGAATGCAATTACCAGGACGGTAGACGGGCACGCATGACATAGAGCTATTCCAAATGATTCTCACACTGACGTACGGATTCAAGGGATGCGACTTTGCAACCAGCCCGTTATACCTCAGTGAAGGGAGCAAGTGGCAGGACAATCTAGGCATGACTAATTCAGATTCTTGTTTGCGTATATAAATTGTATTTATAACAGCAAATGACCCACCAAGGGGTTTACACAGTGCTAGACCGCTGACCTGCAGGTCGTGGGACCGGATCCCGGCCGCGACGGCCGCATTTTTAGGGAGGAGAAAATGCTTGAGGCTCATATAGAGTGCTCAACTCTCATGTCTATACGACGGCACGGAACAGTGTGGGCGACATCTGCAGTCGCAAATACCCCATATCTGAGCATGCGCAGCGCCAGTGATGCGCCTGCCTCGCAATACTGATCCCTGTTTATCACCGCGAATGCAACAACCGCTTTGGCCGTCGAAAACGCTCTGATCGATTTAGCGAAAAAAAAATCAAGCAATAAAAATTGTCCCCGTATCTGCATGTTACACTGCAAATGTCGTCAAATGTCGGCAATGATTGTAATATTTTAACTGTGCTACGTATCACGTCTGTTTCGTTGTATTAGCTGAACAAATTCTATTCGAATGCTATTCAAATGCTAATCGTCATTTGTTTCCTAAATCAATGTATTAATACTCCACCCCCCCCCCCCTCACCCCGCTTTCTGCGCCTTACGTGGGTTTACACTGCCTGAGGTACGATTGCGCGTTTGACAGACCAGCGATATAGTGTGCTGACGGCATCATGGGACGTCATGCCATAGACGTCATAGTAGCGCAGTGATGACGTCACAACATTTCATATCTATGACGCCATGGCGACATTATCACAAGAAGATAATGATGATCTCTTGCATCACTGGTGTTCATTCTGAAGGCGCTGACGATCAATTTTCACGTCTGGTGAGGAGTCCAAGGCTGTCGTCGTAACAACGGGACCTAGCACTGAAAGCGAGCATGTGGGTCCTAGCAGACAAGGCAGGCGGCTCGATGCGTGGTGTCTTCGGAGACCAAGTTGTTGAATGGGAAGTGGCCAAGTGAGCTTATTTCTGCAGGCGTTGAACAACTGTCGTGGGCGTGAAAGAAGCTGTAATCATAGAACAACAAAAAGCGAAAGAATGATCAGAAATGAGCGCATATATAGTGTTCACTAGTCGACCTCTCTGGAGACCACTCCACGTCTGGCTGCTGATTTATCAGTCGGTGGCACGCTATGAGTGTAGACAGACAAGTTCTCGGATCAACCTATTTATATTATTACCAAGGGGACATACATGGGTAAGAGTAGAAATTCAGTGAAGTGGGATCCGCGCAGACGCAGGTATCAAGTAAAGGACTCTCACCACGTGGACACAAATGCCCGGCGAAACGGTCAGTGCTCGCGCATGCGCGGAAAGAGCATGACTAGGGGCCAATAGGTTATACATAGTATAAACGTCTGCGCACTACAATGAAAGAAAAACCAAGAAGAAAAATTTGACCGCGTTTCTGCATATTACACTTCAAATGTCCTCTAAAGACGATAGTCTTGCGTCTGGAGAGAGAGAACAAAACATTTTTTTTTCTGTTCTGCGCAAAAAAAAAAAAATTGGTGAATGGTATTCTGGAGGTGCTGCTTTAGAGTGCCTCGAGATTGCAGAAAAGGCCAACGAGCGCATCAAGTCACGTCACACGCGAGACATGAGCGCTATCTGGCAGTTATCTTGGAAAACAAAGCGCACGCGCCCTGCGCGCCCACCTCGGAGGTGATAAGGGGTAGAACGCAAGGTGACGCGTAGGTGCCACCACCGTGTCGTCTCAGCAAAGCGTTGGAAACACTTACCTTTTCGTGCAAGCGTTGCATGGTCAGCGCAACGTGATAAACGCTACGGTCCTTAAAATTACTTATGTATGACTTTTCTATTAAAAGACACACATACCTAATATTGACGTGCTGTTATGGTGCCTCAGACATGTGCAATAATTGCTTTTTAATTGAGAATCGCAGTATGAACGCTGAATCTTGAGCAATATTTGTGGGCGCTGCGGATGGGATCGGCCGTTTAGAGTATCGTTTGGCTACTTTGGGGCCGTTTAGGGTATCGTTAAGGCAGACAAGCAGACAAATGTACAGACAGACAAACAGACCAAAATTTTTGCGTCTTTAATAAACGAAGTGAATCGTTCTCGCTGTGATATGATATAGTAAGGCTGTGATTGGGCGCCTATCCAGGTAATTGGTGGTTTCTTTTTTCTTCTTTTCTTTTGGTTCCATAACGTTGACAGCGCTTCGATGGTCAAAGCATTCATCGCGGCCTCGCAGATAAGTAAGGGTGGAACTGCAAAGCAGGCACATCAGTGGCACCACGCATGCTCAAATGTGGCGTATTTGCGGCGGCAGATGTCGCTCGTGCTGTTCCGCGCGCGACGCTCCATCGTTATAGACATGAGAGTTGAACAATGTACTTCAGTTTAGGTTTACGCATTAAAGAACACCAAGTGGTCGAAATTTCCGGAGCCTTCCACTACGGCGTCTCTTATAATTATATGGTGGTTTTGGGACGTCAAACCCCACAGATATATCAATCTTCAGTACTTCAACGCCAGCGTGACGTCACGAATTTCAACGTCTTGCTGCGTACTCTGGCCTCATTGGTTCAATTAAAGTTTCTGATTTTGGTACACTAAGGAACTTGTTGACGGGCTACTTAGTAGAACATTTCAAAAAAGTTAATTTGATCGCAAACACACGACACATTCACGCACATAACACCTGAGGCATCAAATACGCACAGCACTCACTTCCAACTGATTTATTCGTAGCACTAAGGCTTGAATGTATGCGTGGGGCAGACGCGCACATTAACATCATAGAAGGCCAACAGCATGTACTATCAACACATACAGTTGATCGTCCCAGCCTAGAACCGATAAACTGGGATTCACTTGGGAAGAAAGATAGCGAAGGGGTGCTTACACAGTAATCCTTATTTTTTTCTATGAAAAAGGCCTCCAAAACTTCACGTGCAGTTTTTCTTGCAATTCTGCCTAGAATCCTTGTCTCAGAAAATCGTGCCTCACAACCGCACAAAATGACATCTACCACCAGGTGCGCATATTAGTGCTCTCGTTTAGTTAATTTTTGAAAGTGTTCCCCAAACCGGGCATTAATACATCCTTCGGTTTGGCGCACGATAATGGTATCGTGTACACGAACTACGGTGGAACATTTTACATGGGGCCTCTCATGTTTCTTCTCGCAGCCGCACTTTTCGCTATCGCAAATACGTTGGTACAGTTTCCCGATTTTATCGTGTGCCCAAAACACCATCGGTACACCGCGCCTATGTACCACAACTTTCTTGAAATTGTGCGAAAGCTTATGGATATAAGGCGCAACCTGTAGCCTAATACTTGCGACCTGGGTGGCAGCCATCGCTTGCAGTGTTCTACTATTAAACTTCTGCAAAAGTGATTGAGCAACGGCTTTAATGGCCGATCGAGGGAAGCTAGCAGCCTCTAATTTGTTCACCCGATTAAGGAAGCTACGTCCCATGCTGTGTGGGCACAGCCTCTTGATCGCCGCCTCCAAGCAAAGAGAGGCAACGCCCCTCTTTACAATTTTTGAGTGGGCAGAATCGTATGGCAATCACTCCTTAACACGAGGATTATAGAAACAGCCAAAATGGTCATCGTTCCACGTGAGGTTGAAGTCTAAAAATTTCCGACAAGCTTTTCGCGGTGATTCAACAGTGCAAGAAAGCTCTCGTTCCGGCTAGTCTTTTGAAAACGTTCGAAATAGTCGGGGGATAAGGTCTCCCTGCTCACATAAAAGAACTAAAAAATCATCGACGTACCTCAAAACTTCTAAAATCTACCCCCTTTTAAAATTATTATTCAAGTCCCTATCTACTTCCGCTAAAAATATATCGCGGAGGCGCAGGAACCAATGCAGATTTCCGGCCGCTGAAGAAAGGGCTTTTGGTCAAACATTATAAAGGTTGCATTAAGATGAAATTCTAAATGCGATGAAGAATTGTCAACATTAACGCCTGCGTCGTTGATTCTAGCCGATTGTAGGTAGAAGTACAAGAAAAACTGCACGTTCAATGACTGTCCTTCAAAAGTTAACGTAGAGAATTCTTACCAAGAAAGAGTTACTTAGGTGTTAGCAAAGGATCAGTTTATTCATCCGCTATAGGAGCACGTCACGGCCGATAAAATCATGATAGAAGCAGAAAAATGGATGTCACTGCCGAGACAGTTCTCAAGGCTCCTTCTTAGCCTCGTCGAATGCTTTCTTCAAGCGGTCGAGTAAAGGGCCGCTGATGATGGAGTGGGCGAGATCGGAGAGGGCATGTCGAACTGGGTCTCGGAACAGCGGATCCCTGGTGTGCGTCTTCTTTCCATTCCAGCGGATTGTCGAGTTTCTGAAGACCAGTTTCTTGATCTTGACATGACCAAGGTCTAGCGCCACGATGTGGAAGCGGCCATCTATTGCAAAGAGGGACAAAAGAAAGCTCAGCTCAAGTCAGCTTTACTGACTTGTACAATAAAACGATACCGAATTGAAACGAATACCCACAATGGAACAAAGTACTCGATGGAAGACAGGTTTTCGTGGATGAAGTAAGCGCCTGTCTGTCTCCTGAACGGGGTTTGCAAGATTCTGGAAGCAAGTGCGCCGCCTTCCATAATTTTTAAAAATAATATCGCAATATTGTCGGCCCCACGATAACTCACTACATCGGAGAAAAGCAAGACTATCAGCGATACAGCGATCAGCACATTGGCTTTCGAAACACAAAATCAGATAAGTTGATAGCGCATGCGTCTATGAGCAAGCAGCGTAGTAGAGTGCTGTTCGCGAATGAGTTTTATAACTACGACCCCATCTTAGGTGCTTTCATGCCTAGCGGGCAACGCTGGAGTGACATTTTAAAGATTGATGCATTTATGCAGCAGTGGTGAGAATACTGAAAAAGCAACTAGGGTCGTAGCATAGACGTCACTTTTGTCCTCCTTACCCTCACTTCCTTCTTCGGTCTCCTAGTTACACGGGGTCTCTGTAGGCTTAAAGCAAGCACGATTACGCTGTTTATAGAATTTATGAATTCATCCAGTATTATTTTACAAAATATTGCTTATCAAAGCGGATCGAACATGTTTTTTGGCACATGTTTATTTAATTAATTCAAACGTTTCATACAAGTTGTTTATTATTGACTAGCTATTTATTGCTTAACTAACTATTACTAGACATCGGTGGCTAAGAACTACTTCATGCGTAACTGCTTGCCGTGGTCCATACCAGGCAAAGCCAAGCCCCTTGTTTTTGCCATACGGACCAATGACAAGCGTAAACAGCTCCGCTCAGTGGCGCAACGGGACCACCCCCTTCACTCCGATTTTTTTTTTCTTTTACTGCGGGACACGGAGTGCAAAATTACCATCTTAAAAGGAGTGCCCTGCCCTCCTAAGTAACCCCCTCCCAAGAAAAAAAGTTTGCGGCTACGGCCTTGGCGCCACGAATAAATATGACAAGAGTGTAGATCTCACCGGAATCTTTTTTCACTCGCAGACTGGCCTCGGCGCTCTTAACTGAAGCGGTCACATTTCCCGCTTCGACGAGAGCCAGGGGTTCGTCACCATGCCTCGGGTTCCTGACCGCTACGCGCAAGCTGTAACGCAAGCGAATCTTTGAGAAGAACAGGAAGCAGACTGCGTGGCTCTTTTCGCGCAGAGTGAAAAGACAGTCGCCGTCCTTCCGGATGCTCTTGTCCGAACAGGTGAAGCGGCCCCTGTAAAGCTCGACCCAGCTCCACCACGCATCGTCGTGCCACTGGTCCGACGTCACTCGACGGCTGTCGTTGACGGGGGCATCGGAGCCGATGGTCTCGCACACGTGACCACTTTCGAGTGCGTTGGTCAGTTGGCTGCCCGTCCACGGCATCACCGGGAAGTCGTGGTGCGCTGCGTGAAATGGCAAAAAGCCGAAGTGAAGAGACTGCGTGGACATACAGTATCAACATTACACGTATCAACATTAGGGAGTTTTAGAATACCACTGGCAAGCGCTGCGGGCGTAGCGGCCACCATGTGAGTTGTAGAATAGCGTCTGCCCTGCTGCACCGCAATACGTGATCACAGCGACACCGTAGCCTCGAAACCAGCGCTTGCGGGCCACACGCGGGCCGCGACCGCCGCACGCAATTTCGGAGTTTGTGCGTGCGGTCCGCGAACGCGAACGCCGGCTCACGTTACGACGCATGCGCAGTGGCAGCGAGCGCACCGTAAGGGCTCGCTATTCTAAAGCTCCCTAGTAAGATAGCGAAATTCTTTGATTCTTTTCGCGTATGCGAGGGATTAGCTACTCATGGTAAGAACTGGTAACAAGGGGCAATAGTTAGCAGACACCGAACAAGTATATATAGTAAAGTACAAGTGCGTAGCAAGGAACATGGTCAGTGCTGGTAGTATGCGTGCAGCGGCTGCTTCCTTTCGATCTAAAATAGGTAACGCCTGAGCAATGAATGGTTAATGTAATGATTCAGCTATACCTAGTAATGTTTATGTACTATACTTAACTCCCAAGAAGTTAACTCCCAACACAGGAACTGCACCGGATAGCTCAGCACACCGTATCAATAACGATTAAAAAGCAAGCTACATGGAGCACACAAATTGTAGCCATATTTACTCAGTACAAATCGCGATAGCTCTTTTCCTATGCTGATGTTAATCGAAACTGTGCGCAAACATTGCAGGCAAAACATAGTCGTTCGAAGCAGCAGGGCGAGTTTCATGTCGCACTCACCGCTTACGGCAGCAATGACCGCCACCATCCAGACAAACGACTTCATGGTGCTTGACGTGGAAACTGTTAACGATGTTCGCCTGGCATGAGGAAAATAAAAAGAAGCAAGGAAGAACTCATTTAGCGCATACATTTGATAGCAATGAGCAGCAAACGTTCCGAATGGGGAACGCAATACAAAATCTAGAGTAATGCACGTTGGTCGAGTTGGGTAATAGATGTTCAAGACATGTTTAAAGTACGTGAGCGGGACAACACGTTAAGAACATAGAACACGCCCACACAAAGCACAATGGTGTACGTCAAACGACGTTAAAAAACACAATATGGTCAAATTTTCCGGAGCCCTTCACTATGGCGTATCTCCTAATCGCATGCATAGTTTTGGGACGTAAAACCTGACATTATTATCCGCACGCTCTCTTGAAAGAAAATAATTTGTGCGGTAACATTTGTGATGTCCTTAATTGATCATCTGAAAATGCAAGGTGGAAGAATCACGACACGCCGCTTGTGGTCGGGAATATGTTACAACAGCCGTAAAGCACGCGCCCATTATGTGCATGACGGACAGACTTACCTTCACCCCTGCTTTGCTCGGTGCCTGAAGATCACTTGACAATGCCCGTAACAGAACCCTATAGCTTTTTTGCAGAGAGGGCGCAGTAGGCGCGCTCATGTAGCCGACGTCTATCAAGAATACGCACGAGAGGCAATGCATATCTTGTTGTTACCATCACTATCTTGATCATGATTAACATTAGCTAAAAGTTAGAAATGGTTTAAAGAAGTGGTTTTGCCGATATGTTTTTCTTTTCATTGATTCATTCCATTCTAAGTGATACAGCGATTATGAGGAAGTGACCGCCAATACGAGGTTCGGGGCGTTTATCTTAACAGGTGAAGATAACAAACGCATGGATAGTCGTTGAACGAAACTACCAAAAGTTAAGAAGCATGCGCACTGGACCTATGCCGAATGATTCTCGCTCTTTGACGTATGTATTCAAGGGGTAAAACTTGGCATGTCGATAGCAGCTCCGTAAGTACGGCACCAGCGAGTGTAGGAAAGAATGTAGGTTTCAATAAATCATATTTTAGGCACGAAGCACCCTTAGAATAACGGCGCGCTAGTGGACCGCAATGTTGGCTGTCACGATTCATTATAAACTGCTATGTCCCGCTAAAATTAGGCAAACCCCATTACTCGACACCGGCCCCTATACTGTGCATATAGTGAGTTAAAAGGTAAAAATCCGTAGGTACTGCCTAAAACATCATGTTTTGCTTTTACAAGAGTGGTGTCAGAATCCCCAGTGAAATTAGCTAAGGCGCCCATGCTTCTGATCTAAAGCCAGATAAACAAGCGTGAATTTGAATGCAGTGAATTCATCTATTTGAAGCGCCACTTTTGATGGCCCTGTATTTTAAATATGACGAGGAAAACCTACACGCTGCTCCACGCATGGACATGCGAGGCCCATGGGACGGCGTTATGCTCTCCAATGGTAGAGTACGTATTATAGTAATCGGAATTGTTACCCACTGTTTCTAAACACATTACGTGGACGGCTTTCAGCTCTCCCATAGTAGAGTACCGAGTACTCTAAATCGTTGAGCACTTTTTCTAAGCACTTTTGCTGTTCTCTCTATGCGAAAATGTTAGTTTTTGGGATGCGCAATTGTGAAATTACGAATGTATCTCCTAACACTGATTTGTCCCGCATAATTTATGCTCTGTGCATAGCGGAAATAACTTGTATAAGTAATAAACTATATGCAAAGTTGTGGTGCGTTAGTAAAGTGGTGGCGAGCTTAAGTAGTGAAGAGCAAGGATTTTTCTGTGGTAACCACCGGTGCACAATGCATGATTTGCCCCTCCCAAAGTTATAAGTTGGTGGAACCGAAACACACTTCCTTTCTCACTGCGTAGTGCTTCCTTCAAACTTTTTGGGAGTTTACTCGCGTCTATATTGTGCACCAAATATTGCTCTTTCACTTACTCTACGTATATATGTGGTGTATTTTTCTCTAAACAAGCCTAATGCACTTTGACTGAAACTGAAGAAAACGTACTTTTTTGCTACTTACAATATATGAGTGACGTGCTCCAACATTTTCTGTCTGTTTTTTTTGCCAGAGTGTTGCTACATCCCTAAATACTTCAAATATGCATTGCGGCTTAAATCTACATAGCCATCTATCGCCTTTATTCAAGAGTAAAATTTGTATTTGGAGCACATAGATCGAAACATGCTAATTGGCCTTGAATTAGCTCATCGGCCCACCTAAATTTCTGTCTCCTTCTCTCCTGCTTGCCTTCTTTCTCTTGGAATCCAGTCTGTGACACTTTCTGACCAGCAGCTATCGCTCTACGTGCCCGTCTCATCACCATTTCTTCTTCTTGACTCAGAATATGATGTCCTTAATACCCGCTTGTTCTCTGATACACTCTGCTCTCTTCCGGTCCCATAGTGTTACACTTATCATTTTCCTTCGCATTTCATGATCAGTAAGTACCAAATCGCCCCGTAAAACTAATTTTGGTACGAAACACGATAGCAAAGCAAGTATGGGACGCAAATAAAACCAATTGAATGAGGCCATGTTGGTTTTCACGTTCAGGATTGTTGACACAGTTAAATAAATGCGGCTCAGTTTTATTGAAACAGATGTTGAATTCGGCTCATTTTTTTTTTATAATAAACGGTCGTTATAGTCGGGAATTGCCCCATTTTTATTCCAACTGTTTTAGAAGATAAAGATACATTGGTGCGCTTTGCGTCCATGTGAAAGTTAGCCCAATTTCCGTTTATGCATTTGGCTTTCTATTAAACAAAAAGAAAAAAATACATAACCTTTATATAAGATAGCATATGAGCTTCAGTGCATATTACATAACGCAATTTTTTTTGTTTTTGATCTCATTGCCCCGCGTGCCCCTCGCTTCTTACTCGCAAGACAGCGATAATTGCGATTTAAGTGATGACATTGTTACTGTTAATGAGTTTCAAGTGAATCGTAGACTATTTCCCGGATGCACATCCGTGCTGCCATGTTCGACCTTGTAGTCTTTTGTCGTTCACTCGACGAACAGTGCTATGGTACACGTGCGTGTGCGACTATTATAACAGCAGGATCGTGACGTTGACGAAGGCCGCAGTCACCGTGTTTTAAAGGACTGTTGAATTTGGCTGTACTTGTGGCCGTGAAACGGGAACTCGAGCTACCGTCGAGCAATGCGCGCTGTACGCTGATGCAGCGAACAGAGCATCGGCCGTCGATAATCCGATCAACGGTCAAACGCGTCGTCTTTTATGCTTCGGTCGTAGAACCTTCCAGTGTTATCACTGGTGCTCGAATTATCTTCCGAATGAACTTAAATTTTCGCGTCTTGCGTGAAATGTTGACAGAATGAGCTAGAACAGTCGTGAACATTGCGTCACGTTCTGCGCCAAGTGTACACACATTCTTTGAGGGGGAAAACTATAGATTATGAGACCACGTCCGGTACGGCAGCAACCAGGTTATCTTTTTAATCCAGACGCACGAGCCAGAGAGACAGCCCGCGTGACATACGATGATGATCACTACAATGGTTTGGTCATACAAATGAAGATTAAGTACATATTCAGCGCTCACAATATATATATATATATATATATATATATATATATATATATATATATATATATATATATATATATATATATATATTTAAATATTTAAATTAGCACTTGTTCAACAACTGAATGTGGCAGCGTCCATACGTTTGTTTGGCGTGAGATTGTCTATATCCAGCTCTAGAATTTATTTAGATGAATCGTCCGACGTTTGCACGTAGCAAGCCAACATTCAAAGCCATTTAATCATATTAGCCAGCGATAACTGCTGCTGGTTGCGTGCACGTAAGTAACGTATACACGAGTGCTCTGTTGACCGTATTTTACAATTATTTAGCGAACATTATTATAGTTATCATAGCCAACATCATCCCAACACTGTCGACATATCCGGTGATATGTCGACATATCCAATGACCTCACTTCGGGTACCGAAGCTTCCAAAATGGTCGCTCGTTCGTCACAGGAACATTCAAAATGGCCCCATCTTCATCACCAATAGAGCCGCGGTGAGGAACTGCTCTAGAAATGCCATGACATATTGCTCGAATAGGTCACGAGACACTCATGCCGCGTTGTGTCGTCAGGGTACAGTAGGAATCGAAACTAGCTTTCAAGCACACACTAACTATTTTTCTGTAGGATGCACTCATGGTTAGCTGTACGTTTTCTAGGCTGTAGAAAGCTTGGCCTTTCATTTGGCGCGAAAAACTACAAATGACGGCTTTTGTGTCAGTACGCTTAAAACGTCTGAGCTCCTTTGTGTTGCACTGAAACCTCCCAACATGTTAAACCCAAAGTGCGTGGCCATTGTATAAACATCGCGATCTACATAGCCACTGCGGGCGTGGTACTTATGCGCTGTGTTTTGACCATTTCTCTCGGCGGGACGGGGGGTGGCGGGGGGCAGGCGAGTGCAATAAATCTGCGGGTAGGTGAGGGAGGTGCCTGTCCCTTCCCTACACTCTGCTGGTGCCGTCCCTACCAGCCATCTCCTCACGAAAGCATGTACATATATGCACCTCATTGCGTCAAAGCCTGTGATTAGTTCTGTATCAGGTGCGTAGTAGTCAACAGAGTCGACATATGCATATATAACGTGTTGGAACGTCTTTATTCGAAAGGCGATGCCCTCCCGCATTTCACGGTGAAAGCGTCGTTAGCGCCTTGTTGAAGACGTCCTTGAAGGTCATTCTCTCGAAGTAGTACCGGACCCAAGCGGCCAGCATGTCCCGCACCCTCCACTGGAACTCGGGCGACTTCGTGTTGAGCTTCTTCTTTCTCCACGTCATGGTGGAGTTGCCAAAAACCACGTCTTCAATCTCGGTCTGTGTCACCTTGACACGGCGAAGTCGGAACTTGCCAAGCACTGCAGGCACACAAAAAAACAGATCGAAAGTGTTGGTATGTTATATTTGGTTTTACGTGCCCAAAGTACGTCATTGTTATGATAGACGGCGCAGTGCAGGGCTCCAGACATTTCGACCATCTTGTCTTTGATTATAGTGTACTGACATGGCAGAGTGGACGGGCTTCATCGCCTCCATTAAAATGCGACCATCACTGTCAAGATTGAACTCATGGCTTTCCGTTCAGCTGCCGAGTACAGTGACCACTGCCCCACCGCGGCGCCCCGGCCAGAGTGTCGAAAAGGGAGGGTGAAAGTTGTGGGGTTGAGGGTGGGCTAGAATTCTGAGAATGAATTGAATTGATCAATTTTAAACAGGATATGGTGATGCAGAGAGATTTTTGTCAACATCTGGATCTATAGCGCAATGCTACTATGGGTTCTTGTAGCGATTACATGCGTACGTTTACAGATTTATACGTCACTTTATCAGCATTTCAGATGAGCATACACAATATAATTACAACATCTAGCGCCTTTATGTGTCCATTGCCAGTGTATTGAACCTGTGACATGGAGCTCTGCAGCTGTATTCTTGAGTGACTTGCGTTATCGATGGTATACAGCTATAACATAAAGCTACAATCATTACTAAGTGTGTCTTAGTATTATAATTTCGAAAAACCGCGTGTTTTACGTGATAACTCAAGCGTTTACTCACATATTACCAGGACTATGCTTAATTGTACCTTCCCCTGGCTGACTATCGCCTATTACTGGCTCGCCAGTATCGCCTATTACTGGTTGGGCAAAAGGTTTGTGAAGTGTTGGACACTCCCAAGGAGTTGTTCCCTGGACAAGTTATTATAATCCATCTAACCTGTGCGGCAACGACGAAACAGTTATATAGGAAGCGAAGCGCACCAGAGAGCTGTGTACGTTCGTGCTTTTAAGTGCTGAGCCTTTGTTATAGTCGCGTGATGTCGCACTTCGGTGTCGGCGGTGCCGTCCACACACCAACTGCACATGTTCGCGTCTCACGTCTCGTGCGGCATGCTCGCGTCTCGTGCCGGCTCAGGAGACATCCACAAAACTGTCGCTTTAGGAGCCATTAAAGGCTAAAACACCACCGGGCATTTATCAAGTCGAGTATGCGCAGTGGGGGTGCGGACCTCTCCCGCATACTCCTCTCCCTCTCGAATGCGGGCAGTGTGTACTTAAACGGTGGAGTGTCAGTTCAAAATTTAGTCAAGGGCGTCTCCTTTCCGTGCAATACAACAATGGCCCCAAGCAATTTGGTACCAAGCAATGAAGGTACACTTTAACTTTACACTCCTTGCCTTTGGTTCTGCCTCATTCAATAAATAAGAAGAATAAAAACGAAATAACAATTAAGCATTCCCAAGCCGCCATACCCAGTTAAGCAACATTAACGTGATACCCTTGTAACTCTGCCATGCATTTACTAGAGTTCCCCCCGTGAGAAGATGTCGGTGGCTTTTTTTTTTTTTTGTATCACCGACTTGTAGTTTTCGCAGGCTCCATCAAGATGTTCGTTGACTAATCATAGGCTAATAGTTCTTATAACAATTCCTTAAAGTAATGCACGCGTTCTACTGGAAAACTATACCTCATCTTGTTACGTGTCTTGCACACTGCGGCAATTTTCATAAGAGAAGTTCACGACCAGTGTTTGGAAAGGGTAGTTAACATTTTAGCGTACTTCGTACTGTACTATGGGAGAGCATATTACCGTCCCGTTGGCCTCACACTTGGTGAAGACGGGCTTAGTAAAAGTCGTTAACGATTTAGAGTACGAGGTACGCTACTATGGGAGCACATAAAGCCGTCCCGTGGGGATCACTATAGACTAAACGCGGTTTAAGATAGTTTTATTCCCAGATTTATCTTATTAAAGAGAGAGTGTGTTAAGAAAAAGTGGTTAACAATTTAGAGTACTTGGCACTGTACTATGGGAGAGCACAAGGCCGTCCCTTGGGCCTCACACTCGATGAGCCGACGTGAATACCAGATACTTACTAGACGCCGTCATGAAGCGTTAAAACTTGCAGATTTAGGCGTCGTGCGCGAAAATTCCGGGGCCGGCGGCCGTGTACACAAATGCGGCCCTCGAAGATGCACCGGTCGTGTGCACATTTACACGGGCCGTCTTCTGATAATCGATGCTACCTCAATCAGAGGCTTATCGGAAGTGAGCCGTTTCTAATACGAAACTTCTATCTTTAGCTGAGGTAATAATAACAATATAATGATTCTGGAGATTTAACGTCCCAAAACCAGAATATGATTATGAGACACGCCTTAATGAAGCGCTTAGAGAATTTCGACCACCTGGGTTTTTTTTTTTTTTGAAGTTGTACATAAATCCAAGTACACGAATCTCGAGCATTTTCGCTCCATCAAAAATGCGACCGCCGCGGCCTGTTTTAGTTAAGGTGGCTAGTTATATCACTTTGTGATATCTCATGTCTGCCTGGGTATAAACGTACGACCGTTGTCGTTGCCTGTTGAGATAGAAGTGTCGCGCTGCAAAGTATGTGGTGCGATTTCCGGCATGAAAAATTAAAACACGTTAGATAGAAGTATTCTAGCGAAGAATTGATGATTGATTGATATGTGGGGTTTAGCGTCCCAAAACCACGATATGGTTATGAGAGACGCCGTATATAGTGGAGGGCTCCGCAAATTTCAATCACCTTGGGTCTTTTAACGAGCACCCAAATCTGAGCACACGGGCCTACAGCATTCCCGCCTACATCGGAATATGCAGCCGCCGCAGCCAGGATTCGATCCTGCGATCTGCGGGTCAGCAGCCGAGTACCTTAGCCCCTAGACCACCGCGGCAGGGCATATTGCCGCGAGAAAAAGAAAGAAAGAAAAGTTAAGAGAGTAGGAAAGAATGAAAGAAATGTATGCTTGGGCAGGCACGCACACTTCAGCATTCGCTTTCACCCAGAAGGCCTCCTCAACTTTTTTCACAGGCTTCGCCGAAATGAAGCACAGGCCGCGTCAGTATAGCTCGAGTACATTTGGCTAAATCTGGTTAGTCGTTGTCATAGCACGTCCGTATAGTAGACGCTCTCCTACGAAACAGGCCTGATCTACCAAGTGTCTCATCACTGTACCTAAATTCTGTATCCTTCTACCATGGCGAAAGCCTTACATGCCTCGTGAAACACGAACATTGACCATGGTTGTTGTCGTCTCGTGGTGTCGGGGACAACACGAAGGATGCGAAATGTCACCATCACGTGATGGCGTTACCTCACAACGTCATCACGACGTCGCAGGTCACAAAAATGTCGTGAAATCATTGGGTGTGTTGTGAAGCATACCTACAGCATTAAAGGCGTGCATTCGAGACGTCGCATGCGCGCTACAACACTCACCGGGATCTCTCTTCAGCTTCATTCGCATGGTTCCAGCAGCCACGGTGGCCATCAAGAATCCGCGCTCGATGAGAGCCCGCGGGTTGTCTTGCTGGTTGCCTTCCTCGAGCGAGCAGTTCTTACCCCGACGCGCCACAGGTAGCGCACCCACAGGTCGACGTGGCCGACGACGCAATTGGCGACGTTCGCGTTGCCCAGCTCGTAGGCGCAGTCTCCGTGACGCTTGAGCCCTTTGCCCAGACCCGAAATTTCGCCGCCGTAGAACTCGGGCCAGAACCACCACGTCCGGTTCCACATGTAGAAGTCTCGGAGGGGCTCGACACAACCGGTTGTGGAGATGACGTGGCACAGCACGTTTCGCTCCAGGACTCGATCCACTTGCTCGTTCACCAGAGGTGCCACGGGAATCACGGCGGCCACTGCGAAGTGGGCAGTATGTTCGTCCACGAAGAAATGACATAGCCAGAAATATTTTTTTTTCGGGGACGGGGGGGGGGGGGGGGGCGTCATTGAGCCATAAATGCACTTGCGTAGTTTCGTATATGGGCCTGTATATTATACACGCACGATAAATTGAAAGTGTAACCTACCAGACTCAGCCATAGTTAGCCTCCCCCCCCCTTTCGTTCATCTTTATTCTTTTTTTCTCGGGGGAGTTATAACACGAACCTCCGGACGCCAGTGACCGTGGGATCGGCAAAATTGATAGCAAAGTATAGAATACAAAGCAAGGGCATTACGTCAGCTGAACAAACCTAATTTAATATTTCAAGTGTATATATTCGCGATCAAGTTGAATATATAAAGAAATAAGTCTAGGGTGATGTCACTTACGTACATGCTGAAGTAAGCCGTGCATTTTTACACGTTATCACCATGATGTGATTACAGGGCACTTGGTATTCGCGCACCCCGGAATAACTTTGATCACCGAGAGGTTCCCTAATGGGCACTAAAATGCTGGTACACAGCCTTTCTTTTTGATTTATTGGTAATGCCACCACCATGGCCGGAAGTCAAACTCGCGTCATCAAGCTTAGAAGTGAAGCAGTGCGTACTCACCACTTGCGGCTGCAGTGATCACCATTAGCCAACGAAAAGCAATAAATCCCGACATTGGTCACTGTTGCATATTGTGTGCCGAGCCAAAAAAGTACTAACTTAACTGTGCTACCAACCTCGAAATGTGGCCCATAGTCAGTTATGGCCAGTTATCGGAAACGCGGGTTCCTGAGCTTTTTTTTTTTTTGCTATCTCTTTATCGACACTTCGTGGGGAGCACTGGACCGTGAGAACTGCTTTGTATCTGTTTTTACATTCGTGCTTGCCCTTATCAGGTTGATGAGAAAAGCACACTCATTGTGCTGCAAATCAAATTGCCATACCTTAACTAGTTCTGTACTTGAAGCTGCAGCACAGCAGGTAGTCGACGAAAGCTGGTGATTTCCGCACTAATGCAGATACTCGACGAGCGTCGTCGTTGCAGTTTGGCATTACAGCTTGTGCTGTCCTGTTCGTGGGCTGCTAGGTCTCCAGAGAGTCTTGGTGCGCTTGACTAGAGGGCCCGGGTTACACCACTAATAAAATGTGATTTATTGATTTATTTATATATTTATTTATTTATTTATTGCCTGATTTATTGATTGATTGAACGAGTCAATTGGACGAAGCGTAAGCCTCACCGTACCAACATCCAAAACATCCATCGCACGACAGCGACCTCCGTTGACTTAACGATGAATGCTAAACAGAACGTTGCTTATAATTGTCCTTCAAGCAAACCTACTGGATTTTTCATCTTGATTCAGGACCGCTGATGATTTCCTCTCGAGGCTCAATGAGTGAATCAATCAATCAATCAATCAATCAATCAATGAATCCTTCACCGTACCCTTTAGCCAAGTTCACGACTAATTTCATCTCCCTTCTTTCATCACTGAGGTTCCGAGCCGTGTTTTTGTGGGGAGTTGCTGATGGTGTAGTGCAACTTGTTTGCTGTTAACCAGGACTGGGCAGAGATGTTCATAAAAGTATTCCGCAACACAGTCATCGAAATATAAGGGCTAGAAGCCTAACAAGCAGATACTGGGCTACGTTTGCTTTCGGCATAATGGGACATTTAGGGGATGCATGGGCAAACAGACAAAAAAAAGTATCCCGGAAGATACAGATACCGAATAAATATTGGAATACTTTGCTTATTTCGAAGCTGCGTATCCTCCTTCACGACATTTATTAGGTGCAGGGTAATGTTATAATGAATGTCCCAAGGTACTGAAACTTGGTAGTCAAAACATTATGGCAGTGCATTAAGAAAAAGCACACATTTATTCTTGACTCGAGATCTGTTTGACCCGAACATTACGCTTAAGGGGACAGGGTAAGCAAAAATTACACTAGAAACGGAAACGCTCTGTACCTGTTGCGGCTCGTACAGAGAGTTTCCGTTTCCCGTTTAATTGTTGCCTTGCGCAAACTACGTCCAACGAGACGGCACCAACTAAATATTATGAGCACCTTCTTATGTCATTACGCGTACGAGGCGAACTTTACAACATATAGTGTTCTATAAGTACACCTAAAGGAACTTTGGCTCTCGTATTTGAAGGAGCTGCAACGCACGGCGTTTGAGTTAGCATGTGGATGATGGCAAGTACACAGATTTGTCTAACCCTCGTACTTTTGTCTCCGTTGGGCTCGCGTGGCTTGGTGCTGTTTTACCACGAAACGATAATGAGCAAATTCTCAAAAGTTGCACTTCACAACGTTAACCTTTTAGTCACAAAGATTCGAATTGGCTCACGAACTTCACAACGGCCTGTTTTTTTTATTTATTTTAAACAAAACCAAAACGTTGTATAAACATGGCAAGAAGTACGTTCGAAGCCCGCAAGTACGAAGACTAGGAAAATATGCGTACTACCCATCATTCCCATGGTCGCTGAACGGTCTAAGCGCCGAAGTGCCCTATTAGGAAAATGTAGTACACGTTTTACATCAGATACTTACGTGGTTGCTAGCGGTAAGGCTATAACATTCGATGGCACAGGTATAAATGCCGACACGCTTCACCACTTGCGAATTTATCGACGGCCGACGCTCTGTTTGCCGATATCAGTGTACATTGCTTGCTTTAGTTTGAGTACATTTTCTCGGCCACAAGTTCTGCCAAATAGTCATTTTTGACACGCCGTCTCTGCATTCGTCAAAGTCACAACCATGAGGGAACAGGCGCATGGCCAAACAAATTTTTTAGGGGGGGGGGGAGGGGCCGGCACTTTGATTTTGGGAGGGGCACTCTTTTAAAGTGCCCATGTTTTGTTTTCTATGCCATGGCGAAGAAAAAATTGGGAGGGTGGCACATGCCTGGTGTACCACACCCTGGCCGACGAGACAATATTGCCGAGATCGCAACAGAAGATATCCGTTAGTGCGTTCCACAGATGCTTCATGAAATGAACAGACACACCACAGTGCTTATGTCGTAATGAATTTATTCATAAACGCCGTACGTATACGCGAATAATTTAAAAGGTGGCGAGAAAATGGGACAGTTTTTTTATCCATTTGTTCGACTTTAGCACGTCCTTTGCAACCAGTTTGCAAGATGACATGTCCTTGAAGTACTTGTGGACCACGTAGGCGAGCAGTTCCCGTAGCCTACACTGGAACACCGCGTCCTCGGTGTCGACTGTCTTATTCTGCCAAGTGGCGGTGAAGTTGTCGAAGACCACGTCCTCGACCATAATCGGGCCCATATCGATTTTCTCGCATAGGAAGTAATCCCCTCCTGAAAAGAAGAAAAGTAGTAATGTCTTACCAAAATTGAGGTTATTGAAAACAAGTTCTGTGGAATGCTACAAGGTGGTCGAAGAAATAAGATGAAATTTTGGTTGCCATTCCTTTGCCACAAAGAAGTACAACCAAAAATTTCACGAAAGAAAGCTTCTTAGCTGTCTAAACATTCGTCCTGGTGTGGGGATCGAAACTGGTCAGTGCCTACGCCTTCCAGGGTGGTCCCTCTAGCACAGACAGACAGACAGACAGACCAGACCAGACCAGACCAGACCAGACCAGACCAGACCAGACCAGACCAGACCAGACCAGACCAGACAGACAGACAGACAGATGTGCTTCGCATTTAAGATCTAAGTGTTCCGTGTGACCATAACATATAGTGAGTACTATGATAAATATAACACCTACCGCAATCTTTCTTCAGCGTCATCTTAGCGGGTCCTGCTGCAACGCTGGCCGTCATGTTTCCTGCATCGATGTTGTGCAGTGGATATCTGTGCTGGACGTGCTGCTCCAGTTTCGGGTCCTTGACAGCCACGTTAAAACGGTAACGTAGCTGGAGCACCGTGTATTCGACCTCGCACATTGCCCCATAATCATTAAAGGGGTCACAGTTCTCATACTTCTGGATCTTTTTGCCCGGGCGGAAGATGCGGCCGTCCTTGAACTCGGGCCAGAACCACCACGAGGAGTTCCATATGTAGAAGTTGCTAGGGAGCTCGTTACAGGAATACTCGGTGGTAGCGTCACCTAGTGAGCCGTGCTGGAGGTCCGTGTCCGCTTCTCCGCTGATGGGCAATGTCATCTGAATCAATACGACCACTGCGGCAAGCACAGCACGTTAAGGTTTGCGAGAGCGTAAGCGGGGGGCGGCTACGTGTAGTTCCGTCATGATGATCACCACATGTATACGGCACATAACTGCTATTCGTGTACGTGCGGGCACCGTATACACCATAATTGCCACCAGACATCTAATATGGCAGGCCAGACAGAGGTGTCGCCACATGTATGGCACATACTGCTATTCGTGTACGTGCGGGCACCGTAACCACGGAGGAAGGAAACGTCAAGGAGAGGGCATGCCCTGCCTGGCGCAGGGAGTAAAAAATGGGGCGGAAATTACGTCACGCGCGGCCTTATTCACTGGGCACAATGGCGGCCTTTTGTTATTGTTGATGTAGGGCGGTGCGGCACCGTTCAGGGGGTCCAGCGGTGGTGAGTGCGTTTTCATTGGCCTCGCACCTAACTGTGACGTACTGTAGGTGTTCGACAGCATCCATTCTTTGTGGCGCATTGTTAGCTACGAGATTTTCCTCCTGTGGTGCTTGTAACCAGGGGTCTGAACTAGAAACCATGGAACGAGCGTGCGTATACGTACTCCGAATTTGCAGCGTCCGTCAAAATTATGCTGAAAAGCCATCATAGAAGATAACGACTGCGCTCAAGAATTTGTTCAATGAATGCCTTGCAGGTTAGTGACAGTTATGCGGTGTTGCTTCTTCTGACAACGGACGATGCATTTGCGGTCCACAGGCCCTTATTGAGATTGTATGCTAATCTTGCTTTTCATGTTCCTGTACAGTTACCACATGCTTCTGCGCATTAAAGTTCCTGTTCTGCTTCGCTTGAGATGCTCCCTCTTCGCAGTATTGTCTCGCTCTCCGCAATATTGTCTGTATTGTAGCAAAACTCGTTAAAATGTCTACACGCACCTGCACAAGGTAACTAGGTGCTCCTCACTAGATGCGCGTGCTTGTGCATTCAGAAGCTGACAAAGCCGTTTCGAACGATGTGGACCAAGTGATGTTGACCTTTTCTCACGCATTCCTTCGGCTAACTTTCCCACCTTTCGCCCTAACGCGATCCTGGTCTCCGTTTTCCGTAGCTACTAGTGCGCGTGAATTACGCTGGAGACGTGTTCCCACGCACTTTCGGGTGGTCTTCGCTGCTTTCGTCCTAATGAAATCGTGGCCTTTGGGATATCCGTAGGAACCGGTGCGCGTCGGACAAAAGAGGGGCGAAAACAAAGAGGCCGGCGCAAACTCAACGGGCTGCCACGCACACAAGCTCCACCGTGACGCCGACTTTACTGGCATAATTACGGACCTCCGGGTTTATTGCAGGGAAGGCATTTTTCTTTTTTTTTTATCGTTGTGTCTAGCCCACAGCCTGACTTGCTGCTATAAGGGCTGCTTTACAATATATCGTTCAAGAACGTCCAGGAAAATGGGTCATATTCTGCGATTCGAAGGCAGCGCTTCAGAGTTTGCAGTCTGCCATGCGTTGGAGGAGTCATGACCAATTGGCACAAGAAATAAGAAATTGCCATCATGAAGCTCTAGCATGAGGGCATGATATTATATATCAATGGCTGCCTGGACATATCGGTATTACCGGAAATCAATTAGCCGATGATGCAGCCCGCTCAGCCCATGAAGGAACCCGCGTAGTCCCGATTCCTCTATCAAGGAATGATGCAGCAAGACAACTTTACCTGCTGGCTCGAGATCTCACACGCACGTTCTGGTCGTCTACCCGCTTCCAAAGATGTCAATTTTATGAACTGGATCCTTCGCTCAAGCTAAAGCTACTATCACAACTTTCCCGCTCCGATGCGACACTGTTATGCCGCCTTTGGTTGGGTAATGCATTTACAAAGGTGTACTCCTTTCGCATTGGTATGGCAGACACTCCTACATGCGACTACTGCGGAGCTGAAGAGACCATCGAACACGTCCTGTGCAGCTGCGCTTGCTACGACACACAGCGATGCCAGCTCCGGATGGTTTTGAATCAACTTGACCCCGGATTATTTTGTGCGCAGAAGATACTAGGACCTTGGGCATCTGCCTCAGTTGCGCAGAAAGCAACTAAAGCACTGCTACTTTACCTAAAGTCAACAAACCTGAGCGACCGCCTGTAGACTGTGTGTGCTCCCCGAGTGTGCTCGTGATTGTGTGTACCTTCTCATCTCTCTGCAACTTCTTTTCTCCCCTTTATCCCTTCCCCAGTGCAGGGTAGCAAACCGGATGTGCGTCTGGTTAACCTCCCTGCCTTTCCTTGCATCTTTATCTCTCTCTCTCTCTCTCATAAAGACTAAAGAGAAGCGCAAAAGAGGGAAAAAGTGATCTGAAAGAAGCTGTACAAATTTCGGTGCCTGGTTCAGCGCGCGGAAATGTCCGAAATATCTTTATTTTCACAAAGAACACATCAAATAAAAAAAGCTTAACGTGCAACTTGCCGTGCTTATCGTAAACGCCGGCAGCGCAAGAGTACAACAGTCATACGCAGAGATTTCGTGAACCGTATCGCGGCAAGACAGCGTGTTGAAATCCGTTCCGTCGGTGTGTGATAGCACGCGGCACGCAGGCCACGTGCTTTTTGAGACAGAGATGGAGTCGCGCCTTCTGCTTCGCATTCATATGTAAACAAGAGAGGAGAATTTGCCCAGTCAATATGGCCGACTTCCGGCTTCATCTTGGCTTCACAACGAGTGACGTCAGGGCCTCTCCTTACCTTTCCTTCCTCCGTGGTATACATCATAATTACCACCAGACATCTAATATGGCAGGCCAGACAGAGGTTTTTTTTTTTTATGAAAGTGGGGGACGGGGAATCCATTGATTTAAAGTGAGGGCGGGGCAGGTAGATTTGGTCTATATGCCTTGGGAAAAAAAGAATTTCTGGCGTTTCTGGGGGTGGGGATGGGCCTAATGTGCCACTCCCTGGCTACGCCAGTGAAGCCAGATTATTAACCAAGCTAATTATATATAGCGTTCTATAACTTGCATCCAACACAAGAAGTTTGATTATCGTACACCTCGTGATCAATACACCAGCAATAAAGTTCTCAATATACGCCACTGTGACGTCATGATTCTTCGAGTATAGCTACTCGAGGAAGAAAGCCTACATCGAGAAAACAGTGAAAAGTCTACCCTCAATGTTCCTGCGTAACAATGCAAACAGTCTTGGCGGGCGCTGAAAAACGCCCACGTTTGTTTAAGAGTATCTGAACAATTCATGCAGCGTACATAGCACATGACATAAGTCGTCTACGGTGGTAACGCTTTCCAAACGTTCTTCACCTGATTGGTACGGCTCACTAATTAGGTTCTCAGCTGGCGGCCCAAAATATGCTAGTTCAATCTGGGCCATGGGGATCGCATTACCCCAAATATTACCAACGGTTTTATCTGTGGATTTTTGTGACAAAACTAAGATATCATTATAAGGTATACCATAGTGGAGGGCTCCAGAAATTTAAATCACCTAAATTTAAATACACATGACTCCACCATTCCTCCTCCATCGAAACCTGCCACTCGATGGTACAGTCAGTGATCATGCTTGATAGCCTGCAAATGCTTGACAGCGTACTTGATCAGCCATTCACCGCGTTAGATATTGATAATGTATAATTAATTATTTAGCAACGTCATATAAGTGATTTTGTCATTTTTTACAGTTACGTTAGTAATGAGCAGATCGATATAATTCGCAATTTTTTTCACCTAGATGGTGGTGTTGGCCCTCATAGATAGCGTCGAGTATATACGTAACCCTGTAATGGCCACACTGCCCACTGCAGGCTAAAGTAAAGGTTCTCTACCAAGTAAATCGATATACTTTACCGATCACGAAACACGATAATCTTTCCACTGGCTCGTTTGCACCAAGCCTCGTTTGCGTAGCAGAGAAATTGCAGTGTCTTTCGAATTCACCATGCAGAGAAGCACGAGTCGGGAACTTTTTGTGATGGTCAGTATACAAATACATTGAGTACCAACGTACTGAAAGCAAACAGCGGCAGGAACTGAATTACGTGTGCTTTAAATTTTCGAAGCTTAAGATTGACCCAACTGAAACACAGGTGACTCGGCTTCCCTTTAATTATGATAAGCATGAAAAGTGACTAGACTTCTAAAAAGAATTGGCACCACGTGACATTCCTATGCCAACAAATACGTTTGAGAGAAAGGCATATAAGCAACTACCACTTTTTTTACAACATGATCCGCATGCCTTCACTGGGAACGACGAGGTTATGAAGCGATAAATACGAAGTAATTAAAGCAACTACAGAAGAACTGCCTCATTGACATTTTGATAGTAAGAGAGAGTACTTTTTTAGTTATAAATATAATTAGAATGATTAGTTAATAGTAAAATTAGTAGCGGCTGCTTCAGTATACTGGAACGATGTGCACTAGGTTTGCTTCGCGTAACACCATTCTTTTTTTGAATCGTTCCGTGGGATAATTGAGACCCCCTGTATATATATTTGGGTCCAACATATGCAGCCCTAGCTATCTTGTCTTTTTTCGTCTTTTTTTTTCTTTTCAGCCTTCTCAATTGCAATACTTTTGTTATATTTTGTTATACAATATCTTATTATAGACTAATAACTCGGCCAACGTTACAGGCTCCACTAAAACAAGCACATGCATGCAAAATGTAAAAACTCTGAGTAGGGGATATTTGAACCTCCCAGACATTGCATCAATGAAGTTTCCACCCTGGCTCGTACTTCAGCGTGACGCTGCGAGCAAAAGCTGATAATCATGACAGCAGCAACGCTTCGATTTGTTGAACACAACTTTCTATTCGGTCTCTAGTATACGTAGACGTCAAGTGACATTTCTATGCTACGCGAAAAAAAAAACATTAGACAGCTTCGCACTATAGGAGTACCAAACCCGAAAGAAGTGCTGGGCTGGGTGGCCTTTGTTTATTTTTATCGCTCTTTCTTCCGTTGTATATCATTTCTTTCCTCTCGTCCGTATCTTTCTTTGTATTTTTGTCTCAGTAATTTTACGAGTTGCAGCTCGCGATTCGCACGCTACGGTTACGTGGGTATAAACAGGGTAAGCATTTATTCGAAATTTTCACTCTTGCACATTCGTTCTGCGTTTTAACATAGTGCTCAAAACACAGCAGAGCAGCACTTAGTCACGTGACGCATCATAAATCGTCGAATGCCTCAACCGGGTATTACTTGTCGTTGCGTCCGAAAAGTTCATGTCACGCAAAGTGCTCGCTTTTGCGGTACCTCGACGCAGTGAAGTGAAGTTACTCACCGGATGCGGCGGTAGCGAGCAGTAGCGTCCAGCGAAACGCCATTGTGGTTGGCGTCAGACCTGCCGGAGAGTCCAAGTGTGGTGTGACAGTCATTCCGGATTTATTATTTGGCAACTTTGTTTTATGCAAATAAGTCATACCTTAACGCACCATTCATAACGTGGGACAGCTGACCCTACTGGGTAGGTTGTTATTTAACTATAGCCCTGTTTACTTCTCGCGTTTTTCGCGCCAAAACTGAAATACGATGACAAGACACGCTGTAGCAGTGGCCTTCTCTATATTGACATTCACCACCCGGGGTTATTTGACGTGCGTCTAGATTCAGTTACACGAATATTTCGCATTTTCAGTGCCCTACGAAATGCAGCCACCTATAATCCGGGAGCCAAAGCCGCAAGCTGCCACACTCCGCAACCTCAAGCCTGACAACTCCACACCAGCCGCTCAGTGGGCGTGAATAAGTGTTCAGTTTCCCTACGTTGGTGCAAGTTCAGTCTGCTTCGGTCTTGGCGTAATGTTAATCTCAAATGGCGGACTGAGTAAGCAATCACAGTTTTCATTATTACACTTGACATTGTAGGGGCTACAAAGAAGACAGGATATAGTTGCTCGAGACAGGTCTTGCAGCCGTTTTCGAGCACAAATTGAGCAGTCAGCGCGCTTTGCCGTCCCTTTCGCTTTTCTTGTCAGTGCGGAGTACTTCTACTTTAGCACGCTTTAACACGCTGTAAAGCTAGCGCCTTTACGAAATCGGGTGGTTGTGCTTACCTAGTGCTCCGTGGCGCCGTGTGCTCGGTGGCAGCTGTGACACGTCTTCCGCCACTGACACCAGCCTTTCAAAAAAGCAATGTGTTCAACGACGCTCTCGCATAGGTGGCGTTGATAGAAAAAGACCAGACACGTGTTAGATTTTCCTTTCTTTTTACTGCGGCAATCACGATGAAATCGTCTCAGTGAATGTTTGAAGATATATTGTCTCCATCGGCGTAAAACAGCGTTATGCATTTCTTCGAGCGTACTCGAATTATGTGGCATAGATGGTGCGCACGCACAAGGCGTTCATAAAAAGACCAAACTTGTGGGAATACCGAACTTGACACAGGTTAAGCGTGCGAACGCTGGCAAAAACGAATTCGTAACAAATTCTTTCGTAAGTACGCATGCCATTGTATGCCTGATTGACCCAAAATCTTTGACCGAGGCTGTATACAGTGAAAAGTGCTTGCATCAGTCGGTGCTTTCGCTACACTCTTTAAACGAAAATCTATTAAAAATGTTAGTAACTGGAGTATAAATATACCCCCTTGCCAACGATTTATTACTACGGAACTATATCAGAGCTAGTTCACGTTGGCATCGTTACTTATCGTGCAGGGGTTGGTAGGGGATACTACTCGCGCACTTGATGGGTTTGTAAACGTCTGCCGGACGTAGCATGTCATGTTGTAATGGTGAGTCTTACAGAACGTTAGGGAAAGCCGTAATTATCTCGATTTTGTTGGAATAAAAGTCTTGTGTTTCGACATGGCACACGTATGGGCAAGGTATAAGAATCTAGGTACAGGACGTCGTGTAAGTACTCATTTATGTCGAACTTGACGGTTTCTTAGAGATACAAGGTAGGCTACCCCAAAATAAGGTAATTCATTGTCTAAGGTAACACCGTTCATGAAGCTGCAGTCAAGGCAAGTCACGCAGATATTCCCACGGGACGGCCTAGTGTTCTCCCATAGTAGAGTACCAAGTACTCTGAATCGTTCACTAGTTTTATCAAAAAACAGATATTTATTCTTTTAGCGGGACGGCTCAGTGCTCTCCCATAGTTGAGTACGAAGTACTCGAAATCATGAAACATTTTTTCTAAACACACATTTGCCATCTCGTTGGGACGGCTCTCTGCTCTCCCATAGTAAAGTACGAAGTATGCTTTAGAGTATTAACCACTTTATCTAAACACAGGATATTTGCTGGTGTTTTGATGAATCTGGGGTAACTGTTTCTGCGCATTTATCTCGCCTCATACCATGAGCGGTGCAGGCGTTGGCCCGTATCCGTAAGTTTTGACAACAGGGCCTCATCAAGTGTAAGGCCCACGGGGTGGCTTTAAGCTCTCCCATAGTAGAGTACCTAGTACTCTAAACTGTTAACGACAGAAACCTTGATACTTTGTGCGTGCGTTCCTTCGCTCGTTCATGGTTAGTTTATGCTTCTGTGTAGCCACCTTTGATATGAAGATGCCACGGTTATTTGAATTTACCACGTTTGTCGCATGAAGTAAATTGAGCTTATTAGGAGGTGTAACAAGGTAGTGCTGTACCGTTCCCGTGTTTTTTACAGCATATAGATGTTAAGGTCGAGGTTGGCCACGCATGTGTCGTAAATGGGGATCATCATAAACCAGCATGTTCTATCTTCGTCCTCCCCTTTATCGCCTTTCTGCTCTTCCTTTTCTAATCCCGGCTGCAGCGGCTGCATTTTCGAGGGAGGTGAAAATGCCGTAGGCCCATGGGCTCAGATTTCGGTGCGCCCTAAAGAACGCCAGGTGGTCGAAATTTCCGCTGTCCTCCACTATTGCGTCTCTCATATTCATATGGCGGTATTGGGACGCTAATCCCCACATATCAATCAATCAATCAATCAATCAATCAATTTTACGCCATTTATTCGGGGAAAGTGCTTGAAGCGGGAACGTGCGTTGCTGCTTTAAGCGCCAAGCCAGGACTTCAGCGAAACAGAACTGTAGACGAATGTCGGTGTTGCATGGAAGAGATTGTTACACTTTTTTTCTTGTTTTTATTCTCACTTATGCACTTGAAACCGATTGTAAGTGTCTGTTCTCGAGAGGTTGGCGAGTGCTCCATTTTCTTATCTCGTTCAGCGCGTGAGCATTGTCGCTGTTGCGGTTTAACCAGTTTTTTTTTTTTTTGCGTATATGCGGCTAAGTCCACGGTGTACTATGCGCACGATTTCAAGAAGTACGTCTTTGAACTCTTTGCGGGTGCCGTGGGTGGATAACTTCTCGCTGTTTTAAGTGTCTGTCTTCTAAGTTGCTTTACAAACAAAAGTCAATAGCTGCTGCCGTTTGAAGTGGATGAGTGAAGAAAAAATACCTTATGTATTTAGGCGATCTTATGCGTTTAAATCTAACCGCCTCAATAAATAACCTCAATCACTTGCCCGCAAAGTGGTGTCTTTTATATAAGCAAACCACGCTGCTTCGTATGATGTATGTGAAAGACCGAAACTGCTACACGACCTGGCCGAAGCATCATGACCCAAATATGGATACCCAAGGAGCATACATGTATGTTCGATAATGTCCAGCCCTGCTCACGTACTAAACAGCATATCTCTTATACGCTTCAATCAATCTGCAGCGCTTTATTTAAAGCAATGCATCAGGTGCATAATTTGCTAAAATTTTGTGTTCGCTACTTGCTTTGTACTAATTCTATTACAGCAGGAGTATTCAAATATGATAGTGATGCTATAGCGACTGATAATGTGTTGTTGTGGAAGAAAATAAGTTAGACTTTTAAATGCAAAGCATTTCTTAGCGAACTTCGGCTACCTTGAGCGTATCTATCTATCTGTCTATCTATCTATCTATCTATCTATCTATCTATCTATCTATCTATCTATCTATCTATCTATCTATCTATCTATCTATCTATCTATTTATCTATCTATCTATCTATCTATCTATCTATCTATCTATCTATCTAGCCACCTATGACCTTTAGCTCTCCTTACAGTTTCAATAATGGTATCAATACCAAACTTAATATGGCAAAATATGACTGTATGAAGAACACATTTGACTAGTCATAACATGATAATCATGATATGTATGTCATAATTTACATTTCATGATCCTGCGGCTCTTGCGGTGGTTTCGTTCACATGGCATATTGCAAAACTGGTATGGTATGACATGATTGCATGGCGATGACAAGCGACAAAACCTAACATGATTATTATGACATGCGTGTCATGTAACAACATGATTACATGTCACGCTCATGATGCGCTCGTAGCTGTTTCGCTAGCGTCACATATACCAAATTTGGTACGACAGTGCGTGAATAGATGACGAAGGTATGTGACTGGTGCAAGCATGATAATCATGAGATGTGTGTAATGTAACAACATGACTACATGCCACACTCATGATGCGCTAGTGGCCGTTTTGTTAGCTTCACTTATACCGCATTTGGTATTACAGGACGTGAATGGATGACTTAGGTATGATACTGGTGCAAACATGGTAAACATGAGATGCGTTTCATGTAACAACATGACTAGATGCTACGCTCATGAGGCGCTCGCGGCCTTTTCGCTAGCTTCACATGTACCAAACTCGGTATTACGTGACGCGAATGGACGACATAGGTAAATGACACATCCAAACATGATAATCACGACATGCGTGTCATGTAACATCACTACATGCCACACTGATGATGCGCTCGCGGCCGTTTCGGTAGCTTCACATATGCCAAATTTGGTATAACGTGACACCAATGGATGACGAAGGTATGTGACTGGTGCATAAGATGCGTGTCATGTGAGAACATTACTACATGTCACAGTCAATGCTCCAATACATTTTGACGTGACACGTTTTGCATGCTCGCCGGCGTTTATTTCGTCGCGTCACGCCGGCGTTGCCACGCCAGGCACTGGTCCTGCCATACACTCGCAGGCGCGCACCGCGTTGCTATGACGCATACGTGTTTCAGCGCGTCCGACGTCCCTCCGTCACGAAAACGGGCAGACGCAGTGCTGCCTGGGTAATGCATCGGCGTGAAATGCAGCATGTCGCATTTTGCGCCGGTTGCCGTCGGGACGCACCGACTGACGCTGGTCGCGCCTGGCGTTAGACTATATAGAGTGCTCGCGTTTTGCTAACGTAGCGTCGCTGTGCCCAGTGTGCGCACGCGTCAATGCTACATTGGAGTATATTGGGCCCTTCATGATGCGCTGCCGGCCGTTTCGCTAGCTCCACATATACCAAATTCGGTGTTACGTGCCATCAATGGATGACAAAATACATGACTGGTGCAAACATGATAATCCTGACACGCGTGTCGTGTAAGAACGTGACAACATACCACGCTCATAGCGTGCTCGCATGCCGTTTCGCTAGCTCCACATGTAGTATACTTGGTATCGCGTGGGGTGAATAGATTACGAAGGTACAAGACACATACAAACATGCTAATTATGACATGGAAGTCATGTACGCCATCATTTACCTTCAACTCTTAACGTTGTGCTGATTTTAAGTGACATATCAACATTTCTCATTTGTGCTTCGCGTCGCATCGATTCCCATTGTACGTGGGATCTGCCAATTTTAGGGGCGAAGCTCCTTATAGCAACACCCGTTCGTCCCTCGTAACCGTTGTCGTAGTGTGTAACAAGTATAACATTTTGACCTCCAAGGTAGTGCCGGTGAGAGATTCCTTCTGTGCGTTTTTGAACAATAAAACAGTGCTCAATGTACATGCCAATTGCTGCTAATGGGGAATGAGAGACAGGAGCATTCGGCTTTTAGTTAACGCGCACGCTGCGATCCCCATTACCAGCCATTGGCATGTACATTGAGCACTATCTGACAAGAAAGGGTTGCTACGTTATACTCGCTGGGTGTAACCTCCTTAGCTTTAGAACGATTTAGCGAGCGTTGAGCCTCAGCGCCATGAATACAATGAACTAGTATATACCATGAACTCGAGGTGGTTAAAGGTGGGAAGTAGATACGAAGCGCAAGCTGTAAGAAAGTAAATGCTGAATTCTCCCGTCTCTCATTTCCCATTAGCAGCCATTGGGACGTACATTGAGCACTATCTGACAGGAAAATGTTGCTACGTTATACTCGCTGGGCGTAACCTCCTTGGTTTTAGAAAGGTTTAGCGAGTGTTGAGCCGCAGTGCCATGAATACAATGAACTAGTGTATACCATGAACTCGAGGTGGTTAAAGGTGGGAAGTAGACCCGAAGGCGCAAGCCGTTAGAAAGTGTGCGTGTGCCACCTCTCGTTTAGTCCTTGGAATGTCCGCTGGATGGCGGTGCTTCTATATGGCGAATATATGATGAAAAGATGCGAGATGGTGGTACTTGGAGTGTTGAATAGATGGACGAACGGACACACAGACAGATGCATGAATGGACGCATGAACGGACGCAGGGGCGGATGCATGGACGAACGCAGGGACGGACGCGCGAACAGACGCACGCACGGACGGGCGGATGGACGCATGGACGGTCACACAGACGGACGCATGGACAGACGGAAGCAAGAACGAATGGACGGATGAATGCTTCGCCCCACTCTCTATCATTCGCTCCGTGGATATGCTGCCAATTTTTTTTTACCTGCATGCTTAACTCTGACGTTGTATCGTTTGGCCCGACAGATTGCCACAACAAAATTATAGAATAGGAAAATTCTTCGTTCCAAGTGAAGTGAGAGAGGCCCGAAAAGGCTGTTTAAGAACAGTTCATGTAACACTTGGCTTGGGCATGAACATGTGCACAACTTACAACACTTTGGTCGAAGCAACAAAAAGAAGAGCAGCGAACGGCCGCATTCTCCTTCGCTGCTTCGGAATGAAATTGATTCCACCCTAGATTGCTTGTGATCTGCAGGAATTTTTTTCACTCTTCCTCGGCAATCATCATCGCACGTCTTACGTGCATTTTTTTTTCTACAGTGATGCGCTTCCAGATTGCTTAAAGGACGGAACACTTAAGCGGCGCTACGCTGTCATCTTCGTGCGTGGTTGCAGTTTGACGTAACGTGCAAGCAAAGCTTCATATATCTCACAAAGCCGTTTAAGCGCGCGCTAGATCTAAAGAAAATTATTTTTCCTCTTTTTCTTGGAGCGCCTTGGTGATGATAAAACAATTAAATATTAAAAAAACATGAGAGAAAAGGAAGAGAAAGCCAAAGAGAAACGAAGGAAGCTGCCAAGCTCCGCACTTCTCCGAGGCTTGAAACGCAAGTGCAAGCTGCCTTAATTTTTTGTTTATTTACCAGCAACACTCCTGTATCGTTGCGTCAAAGCTGATATGACTAAGTAATACAAAGTAATCAAACAAGGGCGACAATTGTATGATCAATACAAAATCTGAAAAGAATTTATTTTCACCATAATGTTGAAACGGAGCAATGCTACGCTAAAGTGCTGAACGTTTTTGTTCTTTCTACAGGTGTCCTAACATCTTCATGTCATGTCAACTCAGAGCGTATGATGAACTCTGCAGCAGTTGTTACGGCCTCTTCGGGATGCTGTAGCGATCGATATGCCAAGACAAATCGTTGCATGTCCATGTATCTCCAACATTGATGCCATGATTGCGCATCATCATAGGTGTAATTGTAAGAGCTTTCACTATATTTTTTTCTGGCACTGAGATGCTCGGCATTAGTTAGCATATCCTTAATCAGCAAACTGTACTGTCCTTTTGTCCATCGTATCACGATGATGTATTGCGGCTAAATTTAAGACACGGTGGACGGGGTCACGTAAGGAATATCTGGGCATTATTGTTTGCTATAGTTCAAAACTTTCGTACCGTCTGGCATCACACCGAGCAAAGCACGGTCATTGCAGGTAGAGAACTGATAGTGTATTATAATTGGAAACATCTCTAATTAGGCGTCTGTGCATGTTTGTGTCGGTGTTATTGCATTTCTTTTTTTCACGCTTCATACCGATTGTTTCAATGTGTTTACAATCAAACTTTTTTTCTTCAGTTATTCACCTGAAACCACTAAATATGATTGATTGTTCATAGAAGGGCCGAATTTCTAAGAATCTAAGAGCAAGAGCTACACGCTTTGCAGCGCTGCAATGATGAAGCAGGATGCTTTTTTGTGCGTATTCTATAGTGATTCATGATAATTGCGGAGTTTGTAGACTGGTACATACTGCGAGGCCGGCTGTGGTGCGTCCTTCCATGAAACAAAAAGATTCGAACAACTTACTCATCGTCTACGAACAAAATATTTAAATATGGCGAGCATTGCGAGAAATAGAAAAAGAAATTATTTTTTTTGCAATTCCGTCCTTAACTTCACCTGAAGCGTTTTGGTTAAACCATGGTAGGTTGGGTACTTATATAAGGATGAAATACGGGCTGAAATCACAATTAAGCATGATTCTGGCACCCGTGTTGCGCTGGTACATCAATGCACTTTGGACTTGAACAATTATCACGAAGAGCACTAAGCCGTGCCGTCTACTCAATGTTTGCAAGCTTTCGCTGATATCAATTTATTGATATGTGAGGTTTAACGTCTCAAAACCACCATATCAATATGAAAGACGACGTAGTGCAGGGCTCCCGAAATTTAGACCGCATGGGGTTCCTTAACGTGCTCGCTGTATATCAACTTGTAAGTCTATCATTTTCATTCTGCTGATATCATAACTCGACTTCAATAGTTTCACTATTACATGACGTATTTTTTGTGTGTGTTACACAAGAAAATGTGGCCACACAAATCAAATGGCGCCTATTCCTTAACTCTTGAAAGGGGTCGAGCATACTGCGCACAATGAGTCGAACAGACATCAATTTGAGAGAGATAATTTAAAGTACTAGAAAAATGCTTTGCCTGACCTCA